CTGACTGTTAGAAAAACTCCAGCTTCTCACACCTTCTGTTAGCCGCAATCACATGGGAAGCAGCAAATATTTTTAGGTTATACCAAGAAAGCTTGAAACTGCAGCTCTGGTGAGAGAGGAAGAGAGATTCTTCATGACATTTGAAGCTTTTATGCACAGAGTTTCCGATCCTTGAAAGAAAGTTATTAAATGCTGCGTGACATGCACGTTGTACAACAACGTATCATAATTACAGTGTGCTTTCAACCATCTGAAGCCTTCCTGTGTTTTCCGGTTTTTGAGTCTAAGCCTTGTAAATTATTTCTGACTCATTAGCCTTTCTCCCTACAGGCAACTCACATGCTCCGTAAACATGTGCATTTTTTTCTTAGATCTCTTTTTCTCAAAAATGCATTCATTTGCTTTTTAGTTTCAGTATGTAGATTCCCACAGTGAAAAGCAATTAAATAACACTTGCCTCCCTCTCTTATATCCTCCTCTCTCTAAAAAATGTCATGTATAATTAAAAGCACATATCTGAAGACCAACTCTTTATTACAACTGGGGACCTTAAACTAAGGATGGCATTAGGGAGTGGGGAGAAGGATGGTATAAACACTACTAGGCCAGAGCGCCCCAACTTTGGCCCCACTGACACTTTGGGGTGGTGATTTTTTACGGCGAAGGGCTGTCCATATTCAACAATATCTCTGGCCTCCAGCCACGGGTGCCATAGGGAGCGCTCCAGTTCCCCAATGTGACCACGAAAGGTTGACCATGTTGCCAAATATCTCCTAGGGAACAAAATGGACCCCGACTGAGAGTCCATCTTTGCACTAGGCCAAAGATCTTACAAAACCACGCTCTCTGTGTTTTTGCCAATCCAAATTGTCCCTTTGACCCCATGGTCAACCTCTGACTACCTAGCCACCCACCAACATGAAATACAGGCACTCATAAATACCCTCCCACTCTTCATGTCGAAGCCCTTGAACACTGTCTCCAGCCCGTCCTCTGAACCCTATACGGCCAATTCAGGACGTAGGAGAGAAGCAGGCACCTTCCCACCCTGCACTGTCATAGTGTTCGTGCTTGTCACTTTTAATGTATCCCAGTGGTTCTCCACCTTTCTAATGCCGCGACCCTTTAATACAGTTCCTCATGCTGTGGTGACCCCCAAACCATAAAATTATTTTTGTTGCTACTTCATAACTGTAATGTTGCTACTGTGATGAATCATAATGTGAATACCTGTGTTTTCCAATGGTCTTAGGCTGCTCTACAGCAGCGGTTCTCACCACAACATGAGGAACTGTATCCTGACTTCTGAAGCTCTAAAATATACCCCCCATTTTTCTTTGTCCACCAGCTACACTCTAAAATAAGGTGACCAGACGTCTCGCTTTTGGAGGGACAGTTCCGATTTTTAACAATTTGTCCCGCGTCCCACAGCGTTTTTAAAAAGTACCGATTCTTGGAAAGATTCTTTTAAATCTTTTAGACTTTTTTAAAACGCCGCAGGACACGGGACAAATTGTTAAAAATCGGAACTGTCCCGCCAAAAGCGGGACTTCTGGTCACCTTACTCTAAAACCCCATACTCTTCCCCATGAATATTGTTTCAAGCATACTTTGATTTATTCTGCTTTGCATTTGATTTTGCACTTAAATATACAATTATGTTCCAGCCTTAAAATATTTATTTCCTGAAATTATCTGTTTAGAGCCTATTAATTAAACTGTAGGGAAGGTTAGAGCACTTAAAAAATAAACAAATCAAAAAGTCCCTTAAGTCACAACAAAACAACACATATCAGCTCCTATGAGTCTTTTATGCTTCTTAATATATTTGAGGAATGTTTTCCCTCCCTATTCCAGGTTACCTGGTGTTCGAAGCTCCAACAAAAATGGGCAAAGGGAACGATTTCCTTCCAGGGAGAAGCATTACTAATGAATTCTCTTTCACAGAAAACTGAAAAGTGGATCTAACATTACTAGATGCATACATAACCTTGAGTTAGGCAGCTTAGTGTCTGCTGGCCTATTTTATTATATCTTTGGCAAAAGGAGAATGATACCTACCCTCTGCGGCATATTGAATGAAATAACTGTTTTGAGCTCTGAGCCTGGTGCCTGACATGCAGGTGTTTTGTAAGTGTCATTTTTCTATGCCACTTCTTTGTTCCCAGCACTGGCTAAATAATTTGTGAGGTCCAGTGCAAAATGGAAACGCCGGCTCCATTTTGCAAATATTAACCATTTCAAGATGACAGTTGAGGAGCATGAAACCAAGTGTGGGACCTGTCTCAGCATGGGGCTCCGAGTTTCTGCTTAGGTTGCACACTCATAAAGCCAGCCCTACTCCCTCCTCTTGGGTTTTCAAGGTTCTACTTGCCTATTATTCTACTAAGTGAAAAGCCACTCTTCAATTTGACACTTGACAGGAAAATAAATGAAACTAACAAAAGAGGGCTTTATTATGTGTGTTGTTGTTTTTCATGCTGACTCGATTTTTCTGAAGTTGTTGAGGGTAGGAAGCTTAGGGCTCTTACAAAGGAGCAGTTTTAATTTGTCATGGTATCCCATGTATTATGGTGTGGGTCATTCTTGACATGGAGGAATTAAGAAAAAAAAAACCGCTCTGTTTTCTACAAGTAATTGGACCCTTGAAAATAGCCCAAGGAGCACTTAGTGGTCAAGGAGGCACTTAATGCAAAAGCTCTTTACCTAGACTTACCAAATAGCATTCACAAAGAAATCAGCAGGGTTTTACATCAGTCCCTTAGATCCTACAATGGAAACTTTTAGGGAACTGGTTCAAATGTCTAAGAGGAAGCCTTGGTCTCCAAATCAGTGAGTCTGGGCTCTGCCTGTTATTTCTTCTCCTTTATGGATTCATCAATATGTCCTTTAAAGATGTTCTCGCCGAAACCGGTTTGGCTCAGTGGATAGAGCCTGCGAATTGAAAGGTCCCGGGTTCGATTCCGGTCAAAGGCATGTACCTTGGTTTTAGGCACATCCCCAGTGGCAGATGTGCAAGAGGCAGCTGATCGATGATTCTCTTTCACCAATGTTTCTAACTCTCTATCCCTCTCTCTTCCTCTCTGTAAAAAAATCAATAAAATGTTTTTTTTAAAAAGATGTTCTCAAGGTTCTCACATCCTATTTGTAAAAGCAGATCCTGTGAAAAGAATTACATAAGTGTTTGGATATATGTATAGTTGTATACACACACACACACACACACACACACTTCTAAATTTCCTCTGTTGAAAGAAATGCACACATACACAGGCACACAAGACATCTTAACAGAAGGCAGACGTGTGATACACATTGGAATATTAAGGTGTATGTTAGTTTTCATTTAGTCATTCATTTATTCTCAGGACTTTATTTGTAACTAGAGTCCCAGTGCACAAATTCGTACACTGGTGGGCCTGCCCTGATTGGGCCTGATCGGGCTGGCCGGCCAGGGGGAGGGGCTGCAGGCAGTTTGTGGGCTGGCCTGATCTGAGTGAGGGGGGGGGGGGGTAATTGGGAGTAGGACCAGCTGGTCAAACTCCCAGTGGAGGGGATAATTTGCATATTACCCTTTTATTTTTTTCTATTTCTTTAATATATCTTATTGATTTTTTTTTACAGAGAGAAAGGGAGAGGGATAGAGAGCTAGAAACATCAATGAGAGAGAAACATCTATCAGCTGCCTCCTGCACCCACCCCCCCACAGGGATGTGCCCACAACCAAGGTACATGCCCTTGACTGGAATCGAACCTGGGGCCTTTCAGTCTGCAGGCTGATGCTCTATCCACTGAGCCAAACCGGTTTTGGCATACCCTTTTATTATATAGGATAATTTGGAAAATCTCACCTAAGGATATGTTTAATAATGAGAGAGAGAGAGAGAGAAATATGAGAGAACCACGATTGGTTGCCTCCCCTATCAGGATGGAACCTGAGATCTAGGCATGTTCCTTGACGAGGAATGGAACCTGAAACCTTTTGGTGCAGAGGAAGATGCTCCAACCAAGTGAGCCACGGGCCAAGGTAGGACTCTTATTTTTTTACAGTGGATAAACTGAGGCTCAGAGTAGTTACATAACCTGGCCAAAGTCACACAAGTTGATGGTCTCGATTAGAAATTTTATCTGACTCATGTATTAAAATTCTATTCAGTTTAGATTAGGGGTGTTGAACTCAATCAGAGAAGGGGCCAAAATCTAAAATCCAGCCTAAATCGCGGGCCGAATGGTTTACTGAACAGTCATAAACTGTCATTGTGATGGAAACGCAGCGGAGTGCAGTGATGACAGCGCGGTGCGGGCCACATTGCAAGGCCTGGCGGGACGGATTTGGCCCGCGGGCCTTGTGTTTGACACATGTGGTTTAGATTGTTAAAAAATTCATGGGGCCAATTTGGTACAGTCTCTTTGGATCAAACAACAACCAAAATGCAACAAACTTTAACATACTTGCTAATCATATTCATTTATGTGGCCGCCTTGCTGTTGCCCTAATGTTCACCCTTTTCCCCATCCCCATCCCCATGAATCTTCGGTGTCTATATAATATTGATTTTCCTAACAATTGATCCGCAGAACTGGTGGGCCTCTGGGTAAAGATAAAGAGTACTAACATCGCTGACCTCAAAACAAAAACAAAAACAAAAACAAAATGAGCAGTTTGGGGTGGCAACCCCTCCCTTCCGGCCTCGACGCGGCTAGGAAATCTCCGCACGTGGATCCCCCACGACTCCCCAACAGCGCGTCCATCCGGGCCACTAGCCAATCGGCTCAGACCGCGCAGGCGCGAGGGCTGAGGCGGCCGGGGGCGGGCCCCCGGTTTCCCTAGAGACCGGGCGGAACCGGCCGGAAGCTGCTATACGGTTGGCCGCCGCGGAAGGGAGGGCGGAGCTGGGGGCGGAGCCCGAGGCGGAAGGCGCCGGCGACGGGGAAGAGGACGCAGCTCAGGCCGGGGAACGCGCGGAGGCGGGGATGTCGGTGGGCCCGGCGGGTGCGCCCGGGCGCGAGGAGCAGGGCGGGGCGGGCGGGCGCCCGGGGCGGTGGCGGCGGCGGCCGTTGGGGTGTGACCGTCCCCGCCCCGCGTGGCTCCTGGCGCTGCCACGAGGGCGGCTGTCTGCTGCCTGGTTTTGTGGCTGAGACCCAGAGGGGTGGCTTCACCTCGGACGTTGAGGGTGTCCCTCGGAGACCCCCTGAGAGCGGCTCGGGACCCTCCACGAGGCACGTGCGCCGTGGTCATCTCCCTGGTGACCCGCGTCCAGCCTCCGATCTGCTTTGCATCCACCCCGGGCTCTCCTTTCCTTCCCCCTACCCACTTTTTTAAAGATTTTTAAAAAAATATATTTTATTGATTTTTTACCGAGAGGAAGAGAGAGGGATAGAGAGCTAGAAACGTCGAACATCGACCAGCCGCCTCCTACATCCCCCCCCCCCCAAACACACACACACACACACACACACACACTGGGGATGTGCCCGCAACCAAGGTACATGCCCCTGATCGAAATCGAACCGGGGACCTTTCAGTCCGCAGGCGCACACTCTATCCACTGAGCCAAACCGGTTTCGGCTCCCCCCCTTTTTTTTTTAAACTTAAAAGTTTTGGAATAATCTTAGATTTGGAGAAGTTGGAGAAATAGTTTTACCTAATGTTACTATCTTACCTCACCGTGGTATATTTGTCAAATTAACTAAGAAATTAATATCAGCATAACACTCCAAGAAATATTTACGCACTTTCAATTGAGCGAGTGTTTATTGGTAGTGTATAAATGCGAGCCACTGGTGATTTCAGCACTGAGTCACAATCCTTTTAGAGGAGCTAAATATAACCCACTGGAAACATATACTGCCTTCTGCAGTTTTGTATTTCTGATTTTTTTTTTTTTTAATGGAAGGACATGGCACTTAGGATAACTTTTAAGTTAGTTGAAATCAGTGTTTAAACTTTTCTGCCCCTTCTGATTTACTCTAAATTTTACTATCAACTCCCAAGTGAGAGGATTACCTCTTGCAGCTTCCATTATTAATCAAGTTTTAACCTCCTCCCCCCTCAAAATTATTACTTCTTGAGAAAAATACAGTGCACAAAGAAGTGCTAAGTAAACAGGGCTAGAGAGCCTACTGTAGAAGGAGTTGCTCTCACGTCTTTGTAATTTGTAGATGTTTTGACAGATATAATAATTCCCAGAAAGGACTTTTGAAATCACTCTGCATTCTTTTTTTCCTCCGTCACCATGTTGTAAGGAACTGCCAGTTGCTCAGAGATGATAAGCAGCCTGAATATATGTCTGTGTTTCTTTGTATTTGTTTGATCAGTTCATGATCGGGTGGTGGCAGCAGGAAGTTCTTCATCCAGAGTGATAGTACATGTGGACCTGGATTGCTTTTATGCACAAGTAGAAATGATTTCAAACCCGGAACTAAAGGGCAAACCTTTAGGTAATTATGAATGTCCAGAATGTTTTTCATTGTATAAGAGGATTCGCACTCATGTTTATTGTATTCTCATTTATTAACCACGTTAGATTTTAGAAACAGCTTTTTAAAAAATATATATTTTATTGATTTTTTTTTTTTTTTTTTTTTTTTTTTTTTTTACCGAGAGGAAGGGAGAGAGAGAGAGAGAGAGAGTTAGAAACATTGATGAGAAACATTGATCAGCTGCCTCCTGCACACCTCTTACTGGGGATGTGCCCGCAACCCAGGTATATGCTCCTGACGAGAATTGAACCTGGGACCCTTCACTCTGCAGGCCCAAGCTCTATTCCACTGAGCCAAACCAGTCAGGGCTGGAAGCAGTTTTTAACGTGCTTTATGGACAGAATCTTTGCTTCAATACCAGGTGTAAAACTTTATAAGCCTCATTTAATAAATGGTGAATTTGACACAATCCTCTTACTTTCTTTTCTATGTGTTTGTGTTTATATTGTTACAGGTGAACATTATCTTTATGGTGGTAAACATGTAGTCAATTTGTGTAAAAGAGCAGATTTTTAGCAATGATAAGCCACTAAGACTCAGTAAACTAGAATTTCTATAAGTGCTGTAGATCAGGGTTTAATCATTTTGATAAGGAGAGGGCTCAGAATGGCCCCTCACTGTCGAATCTTCTGTAGGTGGCTAGGAAGAATAGTTCAATAATTAGAACATTTACTGGCGGGGGGGGGGGGGGGGGGGGATCCCTGATAATTGCTGTAGGTTGACACGTGTTAACAGAACTTTGCTTTATATTCATTGGACAGTTTCTCAGAAGATAAGTGAGTTTTTCTGGCAGCACCAGTAATTGTACTGTTATTTTTCATCTGCTTTGTTTTTTTGATAAATCATGGGCTAGAGTTGTATAAATTAATTCAGTATAAATTATTCTGGTTCTGTATTGCCTGAAAAAAATTCCGTAATGACTTTATTTGTATTTTTTGCTGAAGACTCCATAGAATATATTGATGTGTGGTAAATATCTGTTAAATTTTACTTATAGAACTTTGATGAATGGGGCACTGTATTTTTAAACCAAGATACAACTTTTTATTTTTATTTTATTTTTTTAATATATTTTATTGATATTTTACAGAGAGGAAGAGAGAGGGATAGAGAGTTAGAAACATCGATGAGAGAGAATCATAGATCAGCTGCCTCTTGCACACCCTCTACTAGGGATGTGCCTGCAACCAAGGTACATGCCCTTGACCAGAATCAAACCCAGGATCTTTCAGTCCGCAGGCCAATGCTCTATCCACTAGCCAAACCGGTTTCGGCTGCAGCTTTTTATTTTAAATATACACTGAATGGGCAATTTTTTTTTCATTTTTTTATTAAGGTATTATATGTGTACATATCTTATCAATCCCACCCTTCCCCCCCAGTGGTCAGATTATTATGATCTCTGAATGCATAATAATCTGGCCACTCAGTGTGTGTGTGTGTGTGTGTGTGTGTGTGTATTTATTTATTTATTTATTTATTTATTTAAGGCCTAATGCATGAATTCGTTCATGAGTGGGGTCTGGTCAGCCTGCCTGCTGGTCGAAGTCCTGGTTGAGGGGACAATTTGCATAATTAGTCTTTTATTATATTGGATATACACTGAGTGGCCAGATTATTATGCATTCAGAGATCATAATAATCTGGCCACTCAGTGTGTTTTTATTGATGTAAGAGAGGAAGTGAGAAGGAGAGAGAATGAAATATCCATGAGAGAGAAACATCGATTCGCTGCCTCTTGCACACACCCATTGGGCGTGTGCCCTAATCAGGAACCGAACTGTGACCTGGCTCCTAGGTTGCCACTTAACCACTGAGCCCGCCGGCTGGGCTAGAGCTTTGTATTTTTATGAAAACAGATTGCCTTACAACTCACAATTGTAAGATGGAATTCGTAAATTACACTTTAAGATGTTTATTTAGTTCTGCTCCGTTTTCTCATAAATATTTATTTCTATAGGTGTTCAGCAGAAATTTTTGGTGGTTACCTGCAACTATGAAGCTAGGGAACTTGGAGTAAAGAAACTTATGAATGTAAGAGATGCAAAAGAAAAGTGTCCACAGCTGGTGTTGGTTAATGGCGAAGACTTGACGCGTTACAGAGAGATATCGTATAAGGTGACAGGTACAGATTACAGGCAATGTTATTTTACCATTAATTTTTACATAGGAGGCCTGTTCATTACAGGAATATTTTAATAAGTGTAAATCGCCATAAGTCAGTTCCTTTTTGCTAATAACTTTATTTTAGGTCATGCCCAATTTTTGAAATATTTATGAGGATGACTTTATATAAATAACTTTGACAAAAAATGTAAAGTTAAAGGAAGTTTGAAATCTGTCATGAATGGTGTCATGTAAATATGAGAACAAATGTAAAACAGTATTTAATAGTGAGGAAATGGGAAGATATACTAAAGAAAGCCAAATATTTTAATTTTTAAGAAAATATATTTTTATTGATTTCAAGAGGGAGAAATAGAAACATCAATAATGAGAATCATTGATTGATTGTCTCCTGTACAACCCTTACTCGGGATCAAGCTGCAACCAGGCATGTGCCCTGACCGGGAATTGAACCATGACCTCCTGATTTATAGGTCAACCCACAATCACTGAGTCACTGCATCTGGGACCAAATACTTTAATTTTTTAATTTAAATTAATCATGAGAGATATGCTATAGGTTAATGCATTAATGTTAGTTGGGAAATGCTTTTGTAATATTTAACATAATGAAAAACTAGCTTTATGTTTATTTGTATTTTTGCTCCTGTTTTTGTTTGTACATTTAGTATTTGTAGTAGTTTCAGATGAAAGGGTTAAATATGACTAAACGTGCTAACAAACTAACAAGCAAAAATGCTCAAGAAAAATGACAAAAATATTAATGGGCACCTGACATAAAGGGCAAATACATGTCCAATAATTACCTGGAAAAAAGGAATGCTCAGATTCATTATTGGCTATGGAAATTTGAATTAAAATATTGAATTGTGGTGTATTTGGAAAATCAAGTGAGTTTTCGTTTGGGCTCAGTAATAATGGTAATTTATAATTTTTTGTTTTATCTTTAGAAACTCCTGTGGAAAATATAGCCAGAATATATTATTGCTTTTGCTTTTCTAGGCAGACCATATTCATTCTTTGACCCACTGCTTCAAGATCACAATTAACTATAATCATTTATATTTAATGTAAAATATAGTAACTATAAGTATAGGAGATTGCACTAAATATGCTATGAGTATCCGCCCAGGGAATATCATTTTTGGACTTATTTTGTTAGAAATATATTGTCTTTATTTAAAAATGTGATGCAGAAAGAAAAATCCCAGTTACTGAGGATTTTATTAAATATATTGTGGAACTGCCGAAACCAGTTTGGCTCAGTGGCAGAGCGTCGGCCTGCAGACTGAAAGGTCCCAGGTTCGATTCCAGTCAGGGGCATGTACATTGGTTTCGGGCGCATCCCCAATAGGAGGTGTACAAGAGGCGGCTGGTCGATGTTTCTCTCTCATTGACGTTTCTGGCTCTCTGTAAAAAATCATAAAATATATATTTTTAAAAAAACATATATATATATGTGTGTGTATGTGTATGTGTATGTATATATATATAGTGGAACTGTAAATATATGTAAAACTTTTAACAACATACTTGAGGTAAGCATAAAATATTAAGGTAGTTAAATTTATTATAGTTATAACTTGTTACATTTGTGTTCCAATATTATTTAAATTTAGAGTTGCTGGAAGAATTTAGTCCAGTTGTTGAGAGACTTGGATTTGATGAAAATTTTGTGGATCTAACAGAAATGGTTGAGAAGAGACTACAGCAGCTTCCAAGTGATGACCTTTCAGCACTGACTGTGTCGGGTCATGTATACAATGATCAGTGTAAGTGGTTTCTTATTTATTCTATTCAGTATTGTGTTTTTTATATTTTTATTATTGATACTATTATAGATGTTCCCATTCCCCCCCACTTTGCCTACCTGCATCCACCCCTTTCCCTCCCCTTGTTGTCTGTGTTGTGGGTTATGCCTATATCTTCTCTGGCTTAATGTTCTGTGAGATAAATTAATTGACTTTCTGAAAATGTTACGTCTTGTGTTGGAGGTATAGCCATATTTCAGTAATCTAAGATGGCTAAAATTAGCTGTTGCTCATGTAGCTCAGTGCTCTGTGCACTTTTCATTTCTCTTACATGGTCCATGCATTACCATTTTTTAAGTTTCATACCTCTTAAGTTACAGGAGTTGGCTTGATAATATACTTTTTAGAATAACTTTTTATTCTCTTAAAGTGATATTTAAGCAAGATTTTCAGGTAGAACAAATACATTTGATTTTGTTGTCTCTTGGTTCCAGTTCCCCAAGGCACCAAAACCCTATTGTCCCCTGATCTAACCCTTGTGGAAGTTAGTTCAGGCCTACTAATTCTTCATGAATTCTTCCTATTTCCCACAAGTTTTTATTTTAAAAAATTTAAACCTACAGAAAAATTGACAGAATATAATGCAATGAGTACACTCATTGTACTCTTCTTGTCCATACAGCTATTGTTACCATTTTCCATATTTTCTTTATTGATTGGTTGACTGATTGACGAGCCATTTGAAAGTAAATTGCAATCTAACACTTCATTTGTAAGTACACCTGAGGATAAGGATTGTCTCATATAATTGTAAGACCATTTTCACACCTAAGAAAATTGGTTTCTTGATAATTTCCCTGCACTTTTCATAAGAGATTTCTTAAATATGGACAGATTTAAAATTGTTTTTCATACAGCCAGTACATAAAGTTTAGATTTAGTTCCCTAAAACTGTAATGTTAACTATCTTATTAATGTAATACTTTTATGCTTACTTACAGATAACAGGAATATAAAAGGTTTACTGATGTCAGTAGGAATTTTTCATGAGAGATGAGTTTTCATACTCTGTTCATCATTAAGCACGTCTGTGCATTCTCTATCACAGGCCTTAGAGTTCACACCCTGTAGTTAGTTACTTAACAGAATTCCAGTGAAGAACAAAGCAGATTAGTTAAGTGGGTGGCAGTATGGTGGTGGTGGAACATTGAATTTACGTTAAATAAACCTTCATTTATAAATAAAATGCATTTGTAAAAAAGGAAACTAAATTGTTTTGTGGTTCTTTTAATGACATTGGCTATTTTTATAGCTGTAAACCTGCATGACGTCTTGCACATCAGACTTCTTGTTGGATCTCAGATTGCGGCAGAGATGAGGGAAGCCATGTACAATCAGCTGGGTCTCACTGGCTGTGCTGGAGTGGCTTCCAACAAATTACTGGCAAAACTAGTTTCTGGCATCTTTAAACCAAATCAACAAACAGTCTTACTACCTGAAAGTTCTCAAGATCTCATTCATAGTCTGAAACACATAAAGGAAATGCCTGGTAAGACATATATATTTTTTTGTATTTTTTTGAAAAATTATAGATATATGTAGTTAATTCTTAAAGCCTATATACTTGGCTCTTGGAGAAAACCAAACAAGCTAATGTTCTTTGGAGGGAATCTGTATTAGGAAATATATAAAAGTACTTTTATAGTTTCACCTACTTTTGTGTAGTTTGAATATGATCATGAAAGCTATAACTGGAAGTGTATAGTCCTTTATTTCCAATCCCTGGTTCATAATCTTATACTGTACATTATATCTAAAGAAGTTTTTTATTAACTCTACTTGAGGATTATCAATATATCGGGTCTAGTAATAATTAATGTCGTTTTCAACATTCGTTTAAAATCTTGCTTGGTGTTGACTTGTATTGACATAACCTTCAAACACGTGGTATCTACAGAACGTGTGAAGTGCAATTAATAAGTTTTGCTTGAAAAAGTTTGTGTTTGGTTTGGTTTTTGTTGCAAAACTAGGGCTAAGAAGATGGCGGATGAAGAGCATATTCGGCCTTCACGCTTTACGAGTTCCAATTAGGAAGAAAAGCAGGTGAGGCTGCAAAAAACATCTGTAGTGCTCTTGGTCAAGATGCAGTTAGCGCCAGAAAATGCCAGCGTTGGTTTGAGAAATTTCGCGAGGGAAATTTTTCGTTAGATGACAAGAGTGGTCGAGGCCGTGTGTCCAATTTTGATCAAGAAGCTCTTCAAGCTCTTTTGGTGCAAAATCCTCAAATTACCCAACAAGAGCTTGCGACAACTTTAAATTGTTCACAAAAAACAATTTCCAATCAATTGCGTGCACTTGGCAAAGTCCAAAAGTTTGGAAAATGGGTTCCTCATGAGTTGACAGACAACAACCGTAATCAAAGAGTCACAATTTGCAGTTCGCTCCTCTCTCGTCAAAACCGTTTGCCGTTTTTAGAGCAAATTGTTACCGGAGATGAACAATGGGTGCTGTATGTTAATTTGAAAAGGCGGCCTCATTGGTTGGACAAAAATGAGGCTCCGCAGCCCACGTCAAAACCTGACTTGCATGCGAAAAAAGTGATGTTGTGTGTTTGGTGGAATTTTAAAGGAATTCTTCATTATGAACTTTTACCATCTAACCAAACCATTACAAGTGCAGTGTATAGTGCCCAATTGGAAAGGTTAGCCCAAGCTTTAAGAGAAAAAGAACCCGCGCTGATTAATCGGAAGGGCGTAATTCTTCACCACGATAACGCACGACCACATACTGCAAGAATCACTGCTGAAAAACTGCGCCAGTTGGAATGGGAAGTTCTCCCTCAACCTGCATATTCTCCTGATATTGCCCCTTCCGATTACCATTTGTTTCGTTCTTTGCAAAACTTTCTTCTTGGAAAAAATTTAATAATGAAGAATGCCTCAAAAATGCATTGACCGAATTTTTTGCATCAAAATCACAAGACTTTTACAACAGAGGGATTAAAATGCTTCCTGAGCGTTGGGCACAAGTAGTAGAAAACAACGGCAACTATATTGTTGATTAAATTTTGTTGTATTGTTTAAATAAATTCGATTTAAAAAAGTATTAGAAAACGACATTAATTATTACTAGACCTAATATGTAAAAGGCTAAGTGTCCATCCATCCAACCGGAAGCTATGACATGCACTGACCAGCAAGGGCAGACACTCAATGTAGGAGCTGCCATGACATGCACTGGCCATTTAAAATACATGGCACCACAGACCTGGCGCCGACAAACTAACACTTAGCTTCCCCCATGTGAGACACAGGCCCCACCACCACTCCAGGGCAATACCCCACCAAATTTCAGCCAAGGCAGCCAAGACCCATGACACAAAATGCAGCCGACAGCCCAGCCAGGAAATGGTCTCTGTGGGCACCGGGTAATGATGTCACATAGCAACGCCCAGCTTCCTCTCCCTAGCGACTAGCCTCCTTGAAGTTTTTTTAGCCCAGGAACCTGACTTGCTTGATAGCCTGATACAAACACTGAAGCATTTTTACATGCCTCATCTCATTTGATCTTCACAGAAGTCCTGGAGTAGGTAGATAGGAGACTTGGTAGAATCCTATTTTCATTAGCCAGAAAAATGGAGATTTAGAAAGTTTAGAAACTTGACCCAACTGAAAAGAAGCAAGAAATGGTGGAACTTAAAAATGACTTCAGATTTTCTCACTATGCAAAATATAGTCAAACAGTGCTACAGTTAAATATTTTACCCTTTGTTCTACCTGCATGATCTACAATAATAACCTGCTTTGTGTTGATATTTACTGCTGGTGGCTGACAATTACCTGAAAGAGAAGTTGCGGTGTTTCACTGGGCTGGAAAAAGTTTAGCTAAATCGGAAAGCAGGTCTAATTAGGCAAGTTTATTATATATAAAAGGCTAAGTTGACTCTCGCATGCACGATAAATATGAAACTCTCACTGGCGCCAATCACTCATGTATTTCAATCTGTCATTGCCAATGGTGAATTTGGTTAACACTCCTATTATAGAAAAAGGGAGAATAGTGATATTAAAATATTTAATTAATTTTCCTTTTAATGTGCACAAATTCATGCACCAGGTCACTAGTATCTATAATAATAAAAAGGTAATATGCTAATTGGACTAGACAGTCAAATGTCCTTCCTGATGTCATTCTGGGTGTTCTCTGGAAAAAGCCACCACAGCAGAGGCTGAGGCAGAGGTGATTAGGGTCAGTCAGGCAGGCCGGCCGAATGGTTAGGGGTGATCAGGCAGGCAGGCAGGTAAGCAATTAGGAACCAGCAGTTCCAGATTGTGAGAGGGATGTCTGACTGCCAGTTTAGGCCCTATCCTGCAGGGATCCCTAAACCGGCAGTCAGACATCCCCCAAGAGGTTCCCAGATTGCGAGAAGGTGCAGGCCAGGCAGAGGGACTCCCCCCCTCCCACCACCACAATGCATGAATTTCGTGTACCGGGCCTCTAGTATAAAATATTAGGCTACAAGGAACCTTCCAAAGATTTAGGCGAAGTTTTTATTTTAAAAATGAGGAAATTGACTTTTTGAAAGGTTCGGTGATCTATTCAGGTTGTGGGGCAAGATTGTATCCTTGAAGATTAGATATTTAGGTTTTTATAGACCACATGTGTCAAACACAAGGCCCGCGGGCCAAATCCGTCCCGCCAGGCCTTGCAATGTGGCCCGCACCGCGCTGTCATCACTGCACTCCGCTGCGTTTCCATCACAATGACAGTTTATGACTGTTCAGTAAACCATTCGGCCCGCGATTTATGCTGGATTTTAGATTTTGGCCCCTTCTCTGATTGAGTTCGACACCCCTATTATAGACTATTAATAATTGTATGTTAAATTTTGTTTCTATGGCATTGCTGGGGACAAAGGTGTTATAATAGAATTCTATGAAAGTGAATTTCTAAGACAACTGAAACTTAATCTTTAGATTTCTTCACATTTTTAACCTGGGTTTATATGATTCCAAAATGTGTTACTCACTGCTTTGCCATAAATTTTACAATTTTATACACCATTGCTTTTGATTTACTTATTTACTGTTCAAGGAAACCAGATAACTGAAAAATTAATTTTTTAAATGAGAGGAGTAAAGGGGCACTAAATTCCCTATGATAAAATATGACTGAGTTTTCCTGCAAAAAACTGTATGATAGGAGTTTTGCCAAAGAGGATTTTTTGTTTGTTTTCTGGCTCTTAATTATATGCGATGGCAAATATTGCCAGATATGACTTGTAGATAAATATTTGGTATGTGTTTAGAAATCAGTTAGATTAACTAATAAGCACATGCTAATTAATTTTAATTGCTCTTATGACAGTTTTTCTTTATATGAAAAATCACCATGATCCTTGAAAACTTCCACAGTGGTATATAACAGGTGGTAAAAAATCTCATTTTATCAAGCCTGAATTTAATATTAATATTTTTTAAGAATATCTCTATATTCACTATATTAAACATATTAGGGTTGTTAAGTTTTCAAAGTGGTTTATATAACTCAAAGGCAGAAGAACAACAACTTAATTTGTAATGAACTTTGATCTTAGAAAAATATTCATTATGGAATTTAAAGACATGGTTGATACAGGAATGACAGTATTTTAATTAGCTTTATTTTAAGGAGAAAGCTATTGTAACACCCTATGCATTTTATTTTGTTTAGGTATTGGCTATAAAACTGCCAAACGCCTTGAAGCACTGGGTATCAGTAGTGTGCATGATCTTCAAAATGTTTCCTCCAAAATATTAGAGAAGGAATTAGGAATTCCCATTGCTCAGCGTATCCAGAAGCTCAGTTTTGGAGAAGATAACTCTCCTGTAACACCCTCAGGACCACCTCAGGTGCATAATGACATTTTACTGGAGTACTTACTGGTTATCACATTATTTGAGAAAGATTTCTAGTTTATTGCTGTTTTTACTAATCTAGTTTGCTTGTTAGGTACATGACCCCTTTCCTGTGAGGAAGCTAATTTATTATAATATATTTAAAATATTCTTAAATTAAATCTAGGAACTAGTATTTCAATCTCAAGTTAGCCAATAGCCTATCTATATATATATAAAACCTAGTTGACCAGCTGTGACTCACTCTGACCACTGTTGTACCTTGGTTGTGGGCACATCTCCAATAAGGGGTGTGTAAGAGGCAGCTGATTGATGTTTCTCTCTCGTCGATGTTTCTAATTCTCTCTCCAGCTCCCTTGCTCTCTGTAAAAAATCAATGAAATATATATATTTTAAAAAGTCTTGGCTTTAGAGAAGTCTAATGATTTAGGAGATGGAGAAAAGTTTAGTTACCTAGTTCATATTGATCGATTAATTTTTATGTGACAGGCACTTTACTAAGTACTTCATGTACATTAGCCAATTTAATTTTCACAAATCTTCAAGGTAGGTAGTTCTATTGTTTATAATCTTTTCCTCTCTTTCTCTTATTCTCTAGGGTTGTTTTTTTTTTTTTTTTTTGGTTTGTTTGTTTTGTTTTTTTAAGATAAGGATACTGTAGGTTAGAAAAGTTAAATAACTTGCCCAAGGTTAAATTCAAGTTTTAGGAGAGTAAGAGCCTCGCTGTAATCATACATGAAAGCTTGGAGTTGCTACTAGAGCTTTAAAATTGTTTTGACTTCCAGTGTACTTTCTACTGCAGTATGATAACTTGAAGATAAAAGAGTTCATATAAAAGTGAACTAGCCCTAACTGGTTTGGCTCAGTGGATAGAGCATTGGCCTGCGGACTCAAAGGTCCCAGGTTTGAGTCTGGTCAAGGGAATGAACTTTGGTTGTGGGCACATTCCCAATAGGGTGTGAAAGAGGCAGCTGATCGATGTTTCTCTCTCATTGATGTTTCTAATTCTCTATCCCTCTCTTTAAAAAAATCAATAAAATAGCCGAGACTGGTCCAAACCAGTGGATAGAGCCGTCGGCCTGCGGACTGAAAGGTCCCAGGTTTGATTCCGGTCAAGGGCATGTACCTTGGTTGCAGACACATTCCCAGTAGGGGGTGTGCAGGAGGCAGCTGATCGAAGATTCTCTCTCATCGACGTTTCTAACTCTCTATCCCTCTCTCTTCCTCTCTATAAAAAAATCAATAAAATATATATATATTTTTTAAATCAATAAAATATATTAAAAAAATAAAAGTGAACTAGTAAGTGGTTCAAACTAAGCACAAGAGGTAAGTTAGTCAAAGCTGTGTTATTTTACCTGACATACACGTTGGTAATTATATATGCTTATTTGGGTGTACAGTAATCCTTATTTGTGCTTTTTTGGTAGTCCTTTAGTGAAGAAGATTCACTTAAAAAATGTTCATCAGAAGTCGAAGCTAAAAGTAAGATCCAAGAATTACTTGCTAGTCTTTTGAACAGGTGATTTTTCCATGTTTCCATATCCTATATATTCTGTACTGGAAAGAATACTTGATGTTCTGTCTTGGAACTTAAAGATTAATAGGACTAATCAGTATAATAATGGATTATTTATCACTGAATTTCTCTACATTATAAACTATTGCAAAGGTAGTAATAGATGCTCTAAGCTAAATTTAATCCATCTAGTTCCATTGATTTTTAGTAACATTGTGGTAATATTGTGAATGTTAAGCTGCTGGTAGTTACCTAAGGGGTTTTTATCTATCTTTCTAGAGTTCTGCACTTCTAAATTTATAATGGTTGAGGATAGGTAGTTACTAAGAACAATAACAATAGAGAAAGCAGAAGAACCCTTATATCTCCTTAGACTTACTTTGTGTGAAAGAAAATGGAGTCAGACAAAAGAATAGCTAAGTGCGGCTGTGTGTGAGTAGTGAGAGTGAATGTGGGTGTGTGCAGCTTACTGGTCTGTAAGTACATGAAGCGTGTCCACTCTAACTATGAGTATTCAAGTAGCCTAGCATAAGCAAAACAAGACATGCACCTTTCTGACATGCTCCTTTGCCATCATATATCTATTCCAATGCTCCGTAGAAGAGTATTATCTCTTCTCATTTCTTTGATTTCTCAAAATGGGGTGTCATGGGTCTAACAGTTTTGGGTAGGCAGGTGTGCTTCTGTAATGATGCCTGGATGATTGACTGACTAGAGCACATGTGTCAAACACAAGGCCCGTGGGCCAAATCCGTCCCGCCAGGCCTTGCAATGTGGCCCGCACCGTGCTGTCATCACTGCACTCCGCTGTGTTTCCATCACAATGACAGTTTATGACTGTTCAGTAAACCATTCGGCCCGCGATTTAGGCTGGATTTTAGATTTTGGCCCCTTCTCTGATTGAGTTTGACACCCCTAGACTAGAGAAAAGGGGTTTTGGATGACTCTAAGTAGCAGAAACTGATGAAGTGAAATTTCCTACAACTTTGCTGTCACATGCAGTGTGGTTCTCTATGGAGCTCATCATTTGCTGATGATGACCAGCTCCAGTGCTATGACTAAGGTTGGGCCCATGCATATGCCTATGAAAGTGGGTCATCTGTTTTTGCTTCAACTAAATAGAAGACTTTTATGAAAAGCCTGGCCATTAGAAATAGTTCTGCACATAGGAAAACCACAAGAATTACAACTTTTATAGGTTTTCTTATTTGAAGAATCAACCCAGAAATGAGTCTAGGTGCTGTAAACCTGTGCAATACCAAATATTAACCATTTATCCTTATTTCTGCTTGCCAGTCTCTCTTCTGTACCATGGCCCCTTACTTCAGTGATTGAGGTGTAATATCTTTTAAATGCCTGGCAAAAAAAAAATCATGTGTGTGAATGTGTTTTCCTTCTTGAGTATATGTAGATATGTAAGAGGTATAAAATCATCTAATTTTTAATCTAATTTCTAGGCAATAGTTCAAGATTGCTTAGAATATCACCTTTTTATATTATGTCTTAATTAGTTATAGGAATCAAATCATTGTCTTTGAATTGCATATGAACGTATTAGAACAAGTTTAACTGGAAAATATTTATATTAGTAATATGTTTACAGAAACTGTTTAAGATATTTATTATTTTAGTAAAGCAGCAATCAAGATATTTTGTGATAAATAAGAGAAATTATTACAGAAATCAAAATTTTCTAATTCAAAATACTTAATTTGAGTATATTTAACAGTGTACAATATTTGTATTTTGTACTTGATTTTTCATTCATTGCCATACAGATGAAAAGGAAAATGTTATTCTTTAATTACATGTATTTTCTCTAATTAGATTTTCTGTTCTTTAAGTGAATTTTCTATCTATATCATTAAAACCTTTGTTTTAGTGTTCCACATTTGTATGGAACACTAATTAAAAAAAATTATATTTATTGATTTTAAAGAGAAAGGGAAGGAGAGAGAGAAAGATAAACACTGATTTATTCCACTTATTTATGTAGTCAGTGCTTGATTTTTGTATGTGCCCTGATGAGACATTAAACCTTAAACCTTGGTGTATCAGGAAGATGATCTAACCAATTGAGCTACCTGGCCAGGGCTGGATGGAACATTCTTTAGGATGCATGTATATGTACTTCCTAAATATAATATATAATTGATATTTCAAGTTATTGCTTAATATGGAATATAATGGTGACATTATTATTGGCTCTCTTGGGTCTATTTGGAAAGTACTCTTTGACAAAGTAATCTCATTAACTTTTATTTTCTTTTTGTGATCCTGTGTTTTTAAAATATGTGTAAAAATCTGTCACTTTTCATATAATGGTTTTTGTCAGTGAATGATTCTCTGTTTCTTTAATTTCCTATTGATTTTGATATTTTGCTTTTAGTTATAATTTGGACTTGGATTATAAAATTGCTTGTTATAATTATGTCTTCTGTTCTTTTTCTGATAGCACTCAATTCTGAGTGAGGCCCGAGAGCCTTAACACTTAAAATTTCAGAGCCTTAGTGTGTAGACTTTGCATAATTTATTTGGGCTAGTCCAGGATCTTTATTGCTTATTGCCTACTTATCAACTGTATTTATAATTATTTTAGTTACTAAATTTGTCATTTTATATAAATTAATTTGACAATTTTTAAAAATCTTTAGGTGATATTTTTCAAATTGCTATTTTCCCTTTCACTTTATTTTTAGAGTATGCCAAGATGGAAGAAAGCCACATACAATAAGATTAACAATCCGTCGGCATTCATCTGAGAAGCACTGTAGCCGTGAGAGTCGTCAGTGCTCTATTCCATCCCACTTAATTCAGAAGTTAGGGACAGGTATGAGCTAACTTCCTAATAATTTAATTTAATTGGGCTCTTAAAAGAGCAAATTGTAAATTGGAAATATAATTCAAAGATAGAGGATTTTCACAGGGGGTTAGTGAGCTATTAAAACTCTTTATCAGAAATTTTCACTTAGAAAACTTCTGTTTAATAGATTATAAAAGTAAAGAGTTAAGAATGGTTCCCAAGTTCAGAAGAAACTGTAATTATATGCCATGAGATATCTTCTTTTTGAGAACTTAGATTGTTTCCAACTTTTTTGGCTATTATAAAAAAATGATGCTGGCAAGTCATTGGGTGGGTATATACTTGGTTTAACCTGCTGGGTTTTATGGTGAGTTGAACTCTAAGACACTGCTTAATTTTTTCCAAAGTGGGTATAACAGTTTACATTCTCATCAACAGTGTATGAGCATTCCAGTTTTTTCTTTTCTTTTTTTTTTTCTTTTCTTTTTTTTAAATATATTTTATTGATTTTGTACAGAGAGATAGGGAGAGAGATAGAGAGTTAGAAACACCGATGAGAGAGGGTCATCAATCAGCTGCCTCCTGCACACCCCCCACTGGGGATATGCCCGCAACCAAGGTACATGCCCCCGACCAGAATCGAACCCGGGACCTCTCAGTCCCCAAGCCGACGCTCTATCCATTGAGCCAAACCGGTCTTGGCAACATTCCAGTTTTTTTACATTCTCACTGGCATTTAGTATTACCAGTTTATGATAGTCATTCTTGAGGCTATGTAGTGGCATTTCATTGTTTGTATTTTCTTTTATGAATAGTGCTTTTAGTGTTATATCTAAAAGTTATTTGCCTAAACCAAAGATCATAGATATTTCTATGTTTTCTTTTAAAAATTTTAAAGTTTTGAGCTTTAAATTTAGATCCACTTTGAGTAATTTTTATGTGTGGTATAAGGTAAGGGTCTTAGTTCATTCTTTTGCGTGTAGGTATCCACTTGTTCCAGCAGAATTTGTTGAAAAGACTATTCTTTCCTCATTGAACTGTTATTACACCTTTGTAAAAAACTAAACATTTTTGTAGAAATGTATTTCTTAATGTTCTTATTCCATTGATCTATATGTTTATCCTTTACCAGTTCTACCCTATATTGATACTTTCTTGAAATTAGGTATTGTAAGTTCTCCAGCTTCAAGTTTTTTCTAAATTGCTTTTGGTGTTTATGGTCCTGGGCTTTTGTTTGTAGAAAGATCTTAAAGTAGAAATTTGATTTGTTAACTACGTATTTATCCAGATTTGTTATTTATTTTGAGTCTGTTTTAGTAATTTGTATCATTTATAAATATATTCATTTCATCCTAGTTGTCTAATTTGTTGTCATGAAGTTAATATTCCCTTATAATTCTTCTAATTTTTGTGAAGTCTGTAGTGAGGTTCCTCTTTCACTCCTGATTTTGGTAATTTGTGTATTCTCTTTTTTCCTTTGTAATTCTAGCAAAGGTTTGTCAATTTTGATCTTTTTTAAAATCCAACTTCTGTTGTCATTGTTTTTTTCTGTTTTTATTTTTTCTGTATTATTTACTTCAACTTTGTTGTTTTCTTTCTGCTTGCTTTAGGTGTTTTAAAGAATAGTTTATTGATTTCTGAGAGATATGAAGGGAGAAGAGAGAAACTTCAATGTAAGAGCATATACACAGGGGGATATTTCCTGACATCACTACTACCTTAACCAGATATTCCATATTTCAACTCTTTTGAAAACTTTTACTCATTTGGCATTTGGTAGTAATGTTGAGATGTTCTAGTTTCCATATATACTGTCAAAATGTCAATAATACCTATTTATGATTTAAATTTAAATTATATTAAACTCTTAATGTTAATACTATATAATAAAAGGCTAATATGCAAATAGAACGAATGGTGTAACCACTGGTCACTGTGATGCGCACTAACCACCAGGGGACAGACACTCAATGCAGAAGCTTCCCCCTGGTGGTCACTGCACTCCCCCTGTGGCTCATGGCTGGCAACAATGGTGGTGGGAGCCTCTCCCGCCTCCGTGGCAGCACTAAGGATGTCCAATTAATGGCTTAGGCAAGTGGGCTCCCAGACTGTAAATTTCATGCACAGGGCCTCTGGTTATTTTATAATGTGTTTAGATACTGTTTTCTTAAACATTTTATTTAGGAAGTTATGATGTGATGACCCCAATGGTTGACATACTTATGAAACTTTTCCGAAACATGGTGAATGTGAAGATGCCATTTCATCTTACCCTTTTAAGTGTGTGCTTCTGCAATCTTAAATCACTAAATACTACTAAGAAAGGGACTATTGATTATTATTTAACACCATCATCATCAACAACTTCATGCTCTGGCAAGCACAGTTTTGTAAGTACACTCTTACTGGATTTGTATGATTAAATTATAGATCTCAGTTTGTGTTTAATGGATATAATTTAGAGTTTCCTTTTAAGTGACTTACATTTATATAAAATACCTATCCTATTACAGGTGCTATTCATAAGTATATTGTATGTGATTAAGAAGAAAACATAAGCATCACTGGGTAAAAAAAGAAACCATTATAGAGATTCCCTGTTTTGGAAGTATTAAAACATTTCATAACCGTATACAGGAATATGATGATTAGCTCATACATATGGAAATATTTTTAGATTATATTGTATGTTAATTTATATATAAGCTACCAGTACGCCCTCAGTGTTTTGTTAAAGTATTTAAATTTTCTTTGTTTTGACATTAAATTGAATTCTGATAGCAATATTGATAGAATATGACTGCTAATTTTATAATTTAGAAATAAGAGGTTGGCAGTAGAAAGGCAAAGGCCAGTCATATTTTCAGATGACTATAACAAAGCCCTGTGTATGACCCTTTAGCAAACCTTTATTTACTAAATGTGGGCTTCTTTAAAAAAATAACAGTCTTTTACTAAATTGTCCATGTCAGCAATTAACTTTTTTTTTTTTTTAATCTTTTATTGATTTTTTTTTTTTTACAGAGAAAAAGGGAAAGAGAGTTAGAAACATCGATGAGAGAGAAACATTAACCAGCTGTCTCCTGCACACCTCCTACTGGGGATGTGCCTGCAACCAAGGTACATGTCCCTGACCAGAATAGAACCTGGGACCTTTCAGTCTATAGGCTGATACTCTATCCACTGAGCCAAATCCGTTAGGGCATCTGCAATTAACTCTTTTAATTTAAAGTGTTTTTATTCTTTACTTTATTTGTTAGTCAGTATAATTTTAGTAATATTTTATTTACATAGAAGTTCAAAATGAGAATAGAATAGTGTTACAGAAATATGAATTAGTGCCCTCTTCAAATTACTATTTTTCTCTGACCAATTTTATTTCATCTATTAACTGAAATTTTAAAAGGTGTTGACTTTTTGCTTTGTAATCTGTAAAATGAGTATTAATGCACAGTGGTATTAGAGAGGCAAATAGAAGTGAAAGCACCTTGTGTGTGTCTGGCAATGGCCCGAATCTCTTCTTCTTTTATTTTTAAGTTATTTTGTTGATGTTTCCTGAATTATATTTGACTGTGTATACATTTTTATGAAGCTTAAAATTTTAAGTGAAAAATTTTATGTAAAAAATATGCAAATTAGAATTGAAGGTGTTTTTAAATTTTTATTTCATGAATATATAAAAGGGCAAGTAAAAGGTTAAGGGGATCAAATATATGTTGAAGGAAGAAGATATGACTTTGGGTGGTGGGTACACAATACAATATACAAATCATGTAGAATTGTATACTTGAAACCTATATAATCCTTTTAACCAATGTCACCCCAATAAATTTAATTTTTTGAAAAGTGTTATATCTTAATGATGTTGGATTTTCACCATGAAAATATATTTTTTTCCTTTCCATTAAATGTTACAGTTTAGAATAGGGATTTTTAGAAAACTAGTTCTTGATGCTCTATGCATATATATAAATATTTATAAATATATATTTATACATATATACTTAAATGTTTAGCTATCCCTTGGAGAATCACTTATTTTTTTAGGCCATCATTCTTTTATTCACAGAATTGGAAGTTTGAATCCACAATTGTTAAGATTCTTTCCAGGTGGCTCAGTGCTATCTATGAAATAAACCTCTTCCTGGAAGAGTGAGTAAAGATGCACACAATAGTGTGACTAATGGCGGTGGATTAGTCATCTCTAGTTGGTGAGAGCTGACCCAAAGAGTTGAAGTTACAGAATAGGATAGAAACACATTGGTCCGATAATAAGGTACATTAGCATCATGAATATTTAAAGATATTAGATATCTAAATTATTGTGTTATCCTTGTGTTCCAGAAAATGAAAGATACTCATATGGAGGATTTTTCCAAAGACAAAAAAACAAATTGGGATTTTCTACCAACTGGAAGAATTGAAAGTCCAAGAACTCTGGAATCTTCACTAAATACTACAAGTTTTTCTAAAGATCAAAAGAAGACACTTCCTGAGGGTATTGACCAAGAAGTCTTTAAACAGCTTCCAGTAGATATTCAAGAAGAAATCCTGTCTGGAAAATCTAGAGAAAAAGTTCAAGGAAAAAGAAGTTTGAGTTGTCCATTAAAAGCCTCTAAAGGAATATTATCTTTCTTTTCTACAAAGCAAATGCAAGATAGTCCCTTAAATCCTAGAGATAATTTATCTAATAGCAAACAGATATCCTCATCATCTCCCTGTGAGCCAGGAACCTCAGGCTTAAATAACCATTCCTCCTTCCTGTCCAGCCAAAAGGATTATTCACATTCTTTAGACAGCAGCTTAAAAGATGAACGAATGAGTCAAGCACCTAAAAAATCTCAAGGATTCCACTTTTCAAATACAAACCCCACTGTATCTGTTTTTCATTCATTCCCAAATTTGCAGAGTGAACAACTTTTCTCCAAAAATCACACTACAGATAGCCATAAGCAACCGACCGCAGCAGCATCTCATCACGAAGGACTTGCAGAAAATGGAGAGCAAGATTCTACTGCTGAGAAAATTACTTTTCCTTCAGATGTTGATCCTAAAGTTTTCTATGAACTTCCAGAAGAGGTACAAAAAGAACTGTTGGCTGATTGGAAGAGAAGAACAGGATCAGATTTCCACAATGTACGTAAATAAGCATGTTCAGCAAAAAAGGTCTAAAAAATAAGGGAAAGACCATTGTTCTCAGATCAGCAGTTTATTAAGCTCATCTAAATTAAACACTAATCGATATTTAATGTCACAATCCAATATAAAATGTTCTAAAGCAAGAATAGTTATGGGAAGTAAATTCTGACACAAAATATAAAAAATTCATAATAGAAGAAGCAATGTAAAACATTACCTTCCTCCTATATTTAAAAACTTTTATATTGCTTTTCAATAAAAATATATCTTAGCATTAGTTAATTTCCCATAAAATGAGGGGAAAGATATACTGTATATGCCTGCATATAAAAAAAATAGACTGGCCAGATCATTGCTATGTCATATCAAATAGTGTTTTTTTTTCTGTGAAATATGGAATATTTTACGAAATTTAGCCCATTAAGAAACAGCTAAGCCCGGCTAGTGTTTGAGCATCAACCTATGAACCAGGAGATCATGATTGATTCCCAGTCAGGGCACAGGCCCAGGTTGCCAACTCGATTCCCAGTAGGGGGTATGCAGGAGGCAGCAAATCAATGATTCTCGCTCATCATTGATGTTTCTATTTATCCTCCCCTCCTTTCTGAAATGAATAAAAATGTATTTCTTTAAAAATTAACCACAATATTCTGCCAACTCGCCTGTTAAAAATGTAGATATCTTTAAACTACTATGTACCATTTATTAAGTTAATTTTTTTAAATAGGAAAGGGATGCATATTCAGTTAATACTTCATAATACACCTGGAACCTACCACAATGTCTGACACACAGAGGGCATTAAGTGACTATTGAATAAAGGGTGGGGAGTTGGGCAGGCCAGTGTCTATGCATGTAGAGAACTAGAAGGAACTTTTCCATGCGGAGAGGTGAAAAGGACAGAAACTGGAAGTACAGGCAGACTGGATGTATAAGGATGCAAGGTAGTGGAAGAGGCCCATTTCCTCTGGCCAGTCTGCAGGGTCTAAAAGCGGTAGTTATGTTTTTGCATCTCTACATTTTGTAGATGAGAATAAGAATGTCATCCACAATGAATATACAGTTACTAAAGTGATGGATGTCCTCTTTCTCCCATTTTTATTGCCTTCACCTTGTACTGCCAGATTAAAAATTAGATGAAAGATTGTGGTCACCTTTAATTTGTAAGAAAGAATGTTTCTAGAACACACCAAAGCGCTGTTGGAGGAGTCCTATTTATAACCTTCAAAGATATAAAGAAAAGGTGATAAAAATAAAGTACAAAAATGTGAGTAAAGGGTAGCTTAAAAATATTTTGTAGGTAAGTTTGAACTAAGTTTCAGATTCCTTGAAATTTGAAAATTTGCTAATCATCATATTTTTAACAGGGAGTTTGGGATTATCAAAAGCAATAACTTGTAGCAAGAACGTCAGAACTTATTCACCATACAAATAACCTTAAGAGTTTCTACATACCGTATTTTCCAGCGTATAAGACGACCCCCTAATTTTACAGTTAAAACATAGGTTTAGGCCTATATTCGCTGTATAAGACCACCCCCCACTTCTGAGGCAACACCAGTTCTTTTTTGATAGACCGCCTCTCTAACTCAGCCAATCCAAGCAGGCTTTTTATGCATGCAAATTATACATGTTCTGTACCCAAAGCTACACTGTGTTCTAGTAAAAAGCCTGCTCAGATTGGCCAGAGTCAGAGAGGCAGTCTATTAAAAAAAGAACTGGTGTTGCCTCGAAAGTGGGGGGTCGTCTTATACAGCGAATATAGGCCTAAACCTATGTTTTAACTGTAAAATTAGGGGGTTGTCTTATACACTGGAAAATACGGTATAGTTTGGTTATTTTGTTATTGGTTGTTTTTTTTTGTTTTGTTTTTTTCATTTTGCTTACACCCATTTATTTTATTATCAAGATATTATATGTGTACATATCTTACCATTGCCTCCCCCACTCCCACACAAGCCCTTACCCCCCAGATTTTACATCTATTGGTTATGCTTATATGCATGCATACAAGTCCTTCGATTGATCTCTTATCTCCCCCACATCTCCCTAACCTTCCTCTACAGGTAGTTTTCTGATAAGGTAGTTAAATTTATAAAAAGAGTTTATCACTTTTTTAGATAATCTGTTTTTTTAAAAAAGTTCTAATAATCTGTGTAACCATTTCAGACAGAAACCAGCATCTGACTTTTTAAGTTATCTTTTCTTTGTTGGCTTTTAATAAAACTATCTTTAGTGTTAGATTATCTCTCTATATAAAAGCCTAATATACAAATGAGCCCCATGGGAGTTTGACCGGGAGACAGATAGCTCGCTATGAGGTGCACTCACCACTAAGGGGTAGCTTGGGATGAAGGAAGGCCCCGCTGGCCGCTGGAAGACCCTGATCAGCCCTGATGGTCAGCCAGGCCTAGAGACCCTACCCATGCACAAATTTTGTGCACCAGGCCTCTAGTTTATAAAATTTTGAAGTGTGAATTTATTTTTATTTATCCTTGATATATGCTGATATCCTATATCTTTCATGTTCTCTAAAACTCTTCGCCACTAGCCCTTCAAAGATAGCTTTACTATTCTGGGACTCCTGATTGCACAATGATGGACTTTTTACTCTACCTTTCATGTCCCTTAGTCTCTGCTTCTTTCCATTATCTTGTTTATCTGCTACATTTTGGCCAATTTCATCAGTTTCCTTATGTTCACTGATTTGTTTTTCAGCGGTGTCTGACCTGTTTAAAACACTAAGAATGGTTTTAATTTTAGTATATTTTTCATTTGACTCTTTCTACCTATTTATTCATTACAGTCTTGAAAAAAAACAAACCTCAAATATTTTATATTCTATTTCTGATTATTTCAATACTATTTTAAATTTTTATAAGTTTCAACTTTCTGATATTGATGTGTACCATTTTTTGCTTATTTCCTTAAGGGTGTGTGTGAGTCAACCTAAACTGTGAACAGACCAAGGACCTACATTGTGTGTGCTTCCTCCCTTCAGAGATGGTTTGCATTTGTTTCCAGCGAGGCAGTGCCAATCCACTGGCACCACTTTAATCCCTTCTAGGTTCTGACTGAATGCAGTTCTCTTCCTTTGAGCCGCCTGACCTTGCTGCTGTCTTAAGGTTTTGTCTCCAGAGGTCATCTGCAGGCCATTTGCTTTTAGGGTAAACTCTCTACCATCCAAGTTTTTTGCCTGATGCTTCCTGTTCCTTTCCTGCTTTTGTTTCAGCTTTTCTTTTCTTTTTTTTTCTTTTCTTTTTTTCTGTGTGAGGGTAAAGAGAGAGGGCTTTTCTCTTATTCAGTAAAACCAAACAATGAATTACAGAGTCTGTTTGGTATGAAGCATGTCCGTTCCACCATAGTGCAGAAGTACAAATATATATGGATTTATTTTTCCATCTTACTTTTTACTGCCCGTTTTCCCCTTGTTCTGTGCTATGCTTCTTTCCCATCCTTATTCCTTTTCTGTCTTTTTGAATTGGCTGAGTTTTCTACTTAATATGTTTTCCCTCTACTGATTTGAAATTTAAACATTCTAAATATTTTGTATTATCTTTATTTAACATGCATAACATCTAAAAATGGCAGACTATGGTTATAAAATACACCAGGGATACTCCTATCCCTTTCCCTCCCCCATTAATTCTTTTATCTTGTCATTGGGTTATTTTTTCTAGTTCATCCTTTTGCTGAGAGAATAGTCCCGCAAGGTTCCTGGTCAGTGTTATCTTTACCTTGTGGGAGTCCAAGGTTGTGTCTGCTGTCTGCAAACGTAGATTTATTTTCTTTTCTTATTTGTTACATTCCTCGCTTTTGCATGCTGCTACCACTTGTAAATAAATTATTGAGTTGTGTGGAATTCACTTTCATCCTGTTGCCTCACAGTATTATCTGCACTATTTTTTTCCTATAATCTCTCTACATAACCTTGTTCTCCTATAAAATTGATCTGTGTAAATAATGATGTCTCAGTTTTAGTTCACAAAGTTCCACTTTTGATATATATATAGGTGAGCTCTCATAATTAGATGGTACTTGGGATATCCTTCCTTTCTTTCCTAAGTTGTATTTATTACATAAAAGATACGCCAAAGTTTAAGGTATTAATAATAAAGTATTTTTCATATAGATCCTTTGAAAAAACTATAAACTTTCAAATGTTGTTTTGGAACTTGTATGGATATGTTAAGCAAGGAGAAATTTAATGTAGTGAATTAAATGCTTACAAAATCATGGGGGAGCTGAAGGTGTGGGTTCTAGGCTGGGAGTCCAGAAACAAATCTGAGGACTAGACAGAACCGTGCACTGGGTGAGCTGTGTCTAGAAACCATCGGTGGAACTAAGAATGCAAGAAGCTGGAGTCCATACGCTGTCACCACTGCCACTGCTTCTCAACATCTAGGAGCTGGGGAGCAGTCACCCACCACCATGCCCCCAGGATGAGGAAGCTGCTGCCCCCTCTCGTTGATGCAGTCGCCTTTTGGCAGGGGGACACTGGAACATGGAGTGGGGCAGGGGAGAGCCTCACCCTTCCTTGTCCTCGATCGCCAGCAGAAACAACGATGACAAGTAAGAAAAGTGACGGTGCTCCACAGCTCGCACCAGACTTCGGCCAGTGGGTGAAACCTAATTTGCAACCGGAAGACAGTGCAGTCAACCGAGGCTGCCTGTGTGTGTTTTCCATCATCCCCATCAGAAGCAAGGTAGAAAGGAGGTGAGCAGGATTCTGGATACCCAGAACCTTCCTGCTATATGTGTATGTATGTCTGTTTGCATATGCACATATATATAAAATACATATAGCATGGCTCAGTGGTTGAGCATCAATCTAAGAACCAGGAAGTTATAGTTCAAGTCCCGGTCAGGGCACATGCCCAGGTTGCAGGTTGGAATCCCAGTGTGGGGCGTGCAGGAGGCAGCCAGTCGATGATCCTCTCTCATCATTGATGTTTCTCTCTTCCCCCCACTCCCTTCCTCTCTGAAATCAATAAAAAAAATAATTTTATAAACATACTTCTGAATTCTTAAAAAGTGGTTACTTCAGTATATTTGAGTCATAGTAGCAATTTATTTTTGTCCCACATTACAAAATTGTACTGTAATAAAATTGAGCCTACAGTTCATTTATGTAAACTAATGTGGATACAGATATACTGATAGAAAATTTTGAGATATTAATAGTAGAATATTCCATCTTTAGATGTAGCCAGACTATCGTATTCTAGTTCGTTATAAACAAGTTCCTTGGTGTAACACCCTAACAGTAAAAAGAATTGGGAGGCGCACACTCCCAATATCTGAGTAAGTAGGGATACACCAAGGCTTAGCTTTAATGTTGGTATTCAGCCAAGTTCAGTTATTTGCCTTTGGGTAGCTGAATGATAAATTGTTAAGGATCATTTGTGACATCACTGAAATTTTGTATGGAATTATGTGAATATGTAGGTTACCATTATATATAGTCAGTATTGATTCCAGGCATTAAAATAAGGCATTAATTCAGATTATTAGCATCTGGGTATTTGCTTTCAAATAGAGGTTCAACAAAACAAAATCTCATAAGTTTTCTCTGACAATTTCTTCAAAGTATAAATTTTAGTTATATTTCAAAGTAAAATGTTCATTAATCAATGATTAAGATATTTTATGTAGAAAACAATAGTAACGAGTAGGTGTGCATGCAGGAGGCAATCAGTGTGTTTCACATTGATGTTTCTGTTTTTTGCACTCTAAAAGTCAATGGGAAAATATCCTCAGGTGAGAATTAAATATATATTGTGTGTGTGTGTGTGTGTATGTATATATATATATATATATATATATATATATATATATATATATATAAATGCTTGACGACTTTATGATGACAATATATTCTTTTTGAGTCAAGAAAAAATGTGTGGTTAATTTTTGGAATTATTAAGCTGTTTTGTGAAACATTTGCTAAAACAGCTGTCTGTGTACCTTAGAAAACAAATTATACCTAATGAACTTTGACTTTAATCGAGGGTATCTCCAGGTAGAATGTAGGAAGCGCCACCTGGTGGGCTTTAGCTGTATAGCCTGAAGTATTAAAATAGTTGAGCTTTGGGGAGTGGAAATACCCACTTAGGTTGCACGCAGAAGTTAAAGGTGATATACAGAGCCAGAGCTACTGAATTGGAAAACAAAACTGTTGTCTTATCTCGAGCCACACAGATAGCAAAGTCTCAAAGTAAGACATGAGCACAAGTCCAACTTCAAATCAATATTGTGACTATCAGACATTTTGTTAAGACTTCTGAGAGAGTTAAGTAGATTTTTCAAGTGGACAAAAGTCCAAGGATTTGGTCCCACAAAAGCCTGATCCAAAAGTGGCAGTAAGAAAATCTAGAAAAGCATGTGTTGATTCCACTTCTAGGTGTGGCTTTGGGGTATATAATGTATCATAACCAGATATAGAAAAAATGTGTGAAAAAACGGGTTACTAGCAAAAACACCAACTTGCCTAAAAGATGGATGAAGCTATAAAAATGCCTCTTGGGCCCTAGCCAGCTTGGCTCAGTGGATAGAGCGTCAGCCTGCGGACTGAAGAGTCCCAGGTTCGATTCCTGCCAAGGGCACATGCCTGGGTTGCAGACTTAATCCCCAGTGGGGGGCATGGAGGAGGCAGCCCATCAATGATTCTCTCTCATTGATGTTTCTCTCTCTCCTCCCTCTCTGAAACGAATAAAGAAACATATAATTTTAAAAAATAATAAAAAATAAATATGCCTGTTGTCCCTTGACTGGTTTTGTGTAGGAAGCAACCTAAAAAAGTTAATCAGCTACAAACAAGGAATATTTCTTCAGAAAGAATAGAGGAAGAGGATGGAAAAGGAGGACATCTCAGACAGTGACACCTCAGACAGAGCCATGAAAACCATTGTTCTCACTGGAGCACAATGAGTCAGGGAGCAGGTCCCAGAGAGCAGGATCAGGGTCTAGCCTGGGAACATTTCCCCATTGCCAACATGAGGCCCAGTGGGATATCAGAATTGCTATGAACCAGTGACTACATTCTTCCCCCTTCCCAATGGGTATGTTTACTGTGGTTATCCTGTCCCTTTTTTAGAATTGTACTAGAGGCCCAATGCACGAAATTCATGCAGGGGCCTGGGCCCTCGCAGCCCTGGCTTCGTCTGGAAGGGGCAGGGTCAGCAGAGGCAGGGGCTGCGCTGTGGGACCCGGGAACCGCACTCAGGGTTGGCGGCTGGAGCAGGGGTGGGGCAGTGGGCTCATGGAGGCCAGAGGGTCCTACTCGCAGCCCCAGCTGCCTTGGCCCCCACTGCCACCACAGCAGCTGGCCCTGCTGGCTTTGTCCTTTAGGATGCCCAGAGGTTGTTGGGCTGTCCGGTTAATCACCATATTATCCTTTTATTATTATAGAGTGTGTGTGAGTGAGTGAGTGTGTGTGTGTGTGTGTGTGTGTGTGTGTGTACAGGCAGAAGGGCAGGTAACTTTATTTCATAGGTCTCTGGATCAAGAAGAGCTGCTTTGGCACCTGATGTAGATCACAGAATCCTAGATTGAAGTGACACCTGGGTGGCGGAGGGAGGAGGCAGGTGTGCTATCCCATCTCCGACTTTCTTGTTTTAACTTGTTGATGCCAGGTGGGAGTGGAGACCCAATGCCCACCGAGCCTGATCAGACACCAAAGGGGCGTCTTCGTTTCCTGTAACTACTGTAACTACCACACTAGGTACTAGGTGTTCCTTGGTTTGTGGCCGTAGAGCTCCACTCTCGGCCTCTGTCTTCACGTGGCCTTCCCTCTTCACCGTCTCTCCACTGTGCGTCTCTTGTAAGGACACTTGTGATTAGATTTAGGGCCCATCCAGGTAACCAAGAATTATTTTACTTTGAGATCCTTAAAACTTTACATCTGCAAAATTCCTTTTCTTGTTTTTTGTTTTTTTAGGGATTTTCTTCTTTCTTTTTCTTATATATATTTTATTGATTTTTTACAGAGAGGAAGAGAGAGGGATAGAGAGTTAGAAACATTAATGAGAGAGACATCGATCAGCTGCCTCTTGCACATCCCCCACTGGGGATGTGCCCGCAACCAAGGTACATGCCCTTGACCGGAATTGAACCCGGGACCTTTCAGTCCACAGGCTGATGCTCTATCCATTGAGCCAAACAGGTTTTGGCCCTTTTCTTATAAGGGCTCCAGAGATTTGATAAAGACCTGGCTTTTGGGGGGCGACCGTTCAACATTCTACAGAGGAGAACACTGGTGCTGGTGGGGTGGAGGCTCAGCATCTTGGCGGGCCTGGGTGACACGGGATGGTGGGAGGGCAGTGAGGCCAGATGTGACTAGCCCTTCTGTGCACTAGCTGGCTGTTTGGCCGCTCCTAGGTGAGGTGAAGCTCACTTTGCCAGGGGAGTCCCGACACTACCCCGGCAGGGACACAAAGCCTTGCTCCCTGCTTCCATGGGTGGGAGGTGGAAAATATCTAATAGCTCCCTGCTTGGCCAGCCTGCACTAGAGGGTGCTCAGTGCTGCCTGCTTCTGGCAGGGCTGAGGGAAGACTGGCTCCTCGCTCAGCCTTGCCAATAACCACCTGCTCTGTGGGCCATGAACAAGGTGGGGGGGAAGATCACTGCTCCGCTTGGCCCCGCTGACCCTGTAGGGGAGGCGGGTGCAATTCTTAGCTTTCTGTCTGGCTGGTGATGGGTAGGTGTCGTCAAGAAGACTTTGTTCTGGTAGGCCACCCTCACTGATAGCCACTCCTATGACGAGGAGGAACAGGCTTTTTCTAGAAACTGTTGTTGTTCCTTATATTGGTGGTTCCAGGCTGGAGCCTCCTGTAGGCAGTGCCTTGTCCAAGGAAACCCAGGGAACCCACTGCTATGCCATTTCTCAAGTCCCAAAAGTCCCTAGGAAGTTTGTCCTCTTTCCACCTCTGCTCGTCTCCTATGCCTGTTTGTCGTTATGCGCAGGGTCTTTTACTTGTATAGAAAAGGGACTTGGGAGGATGAGCTGCTACAGCTTGGCTAGAACCAGAACTTGATTCATGACTCATTCAATTCTAAATGCTAGATATCATTGGTCATAATTCCAGTGTAATTCTTTCCAATTTTATGTGCATGTTTTTGTGTTTTGTTTTTTTTTTTTACAATTATCAACTTTAAGCAGTAAGAGAAGGAAAATCAATTTAAAATATATTTTAATCTTTAATTAATGATGATCTCATGTGTTTTCTTATTGACTTTTTTGGAGAACATTTTCCAGGGGGGGTGGAGGGACAAAAGATAAAAGGGCATTAAGAACAATTGCTGCCCTAGTCGGTATGGCTCAGTGGATAGAGTGTTGGCCTGCGAACTGAAGGGTCCCAGGTTTGATTCAGGTCAGGGGTGCATGCTTCGGTTGCAGACTCAATCCCCAGTAGGGGGCGTGCGGGAGGCAGCTTATCGATGATTCTCATCATTGATGTTTCTATCTTTCCCTCTCCCTTCCTCTCTAAAATTGATTTAAAAAGTATATATTTAAAAAATAAAAAGAACACTTTTTATTGGCCAAGCTGGTGTTGCTCAGTGGTTGAGCATCGACCTATGAACCAGGAGGCCATGGTTCAATTCCCAGTCAGGACACATGCCCGAGTTGTGGCCTCAGTCCCCAATAAGGTTCATGGAGGAGGCAGCCAGTTTCTCTCATCACTCATGTGTCTATCTCTCCCTCTCCCTTCCTCTCTGAATTCAATAAAAATATAATTTAAAAAAATAAAACAAAAAATATTTACTTGTTATTGACCATCAGTCTTATATGCCATTCAAGACTATATTTAAGACTGTTCTCCTGTACAACTATGAGTTCTTATTTCCACAACGTACCTTCAATAATTTGTACAAGAATACTGTCTAGAAAAGTTTAACAGTACTTATGCATATTGACTTAGAAGTAAACTGCAGTAACTGCCACACATGATTTTATATGGCCTCGTTGTAAACAACCTCATTTCTTCTTATGGAGTGACTGGCTATTACGGTTATATCCACGATCTGGCGGACCTTTGTATGTCTTTATTCCATCTTTTGCATTGAGGATGAGGGCCACTAAGTTGGAAGGCATAGTTGCTTCAATTATTGATGGGGACAATTTCCCCTTCATTTCTGTCTGGACAAACATCACTAGTTTGGATTGTGCTGGATTACTGTAAACAAAGGAAGAATTAAAAACATAAATAATCTTTAGATTTATCTATTGAATTTACAGGCTTGTCTTATTCACAGTGGAGTCTCTCCATAGTGATTATGATAGGATACATAGATATAGAAGAAAAGAAGGAAAAAAGAAAAGGTACAATGATTTTCACACTCATAGACGTTTTATATGAAAATAGTAACTAGTCCGACTGTGTCTTACAGTCTTCAGTTTTAGTCAGGTTTCCCTTTTTGTCACATTGACTTTTTTAAGTTACAAAAGTAATGTATGCTTTTGAAAATTTAAATACAAAATTTTCATAATTGTTCCCTTCATCCTGTTCCTCAGAGAAAATCACTATAGTTTTGACTGTATCTTTTTGGATGGTTGTCTAAGTATACACAAAGACAGCACTCATAGCTGCCTGTGCCTCAGGCATCGGTGGGGCAGCCGACATCCCAGACTTGTCTTCATGCCTTGGGTCGGCCCTGGGTGGCTGGGGGGCTAAAGGTAGGTCTGGCCACATTGCCCACCTGTCCCCTCCCTGCCAGTGGGGTTGAAAGGACTAGGGGACTCCGGTGGGGCTGAGGGGACTGGGTGCCACCATCTTGTGGCTATGGGTGCCACCATATTTTGTGATGGCATGACAGTCAATTTGCATATTCCCTCTTCATTAGATAGGATAATTTAATCCCACACACATTTATATTTTTAATATTTATATACTTATAGTTACAGAAAATAAATTTAATTTTGAAAATTAAATACTCATTTTTGCAGAGAACTAAGAATGATTAATAAAAGAATTCAAAGCATAAAGCATATTTTATTAGGATAAAGTTATGTGAGAGAAAAAAAGTAAAAATATGGGTTCCAGGAAAAAAGAAATGATGTAAAATTTCTGACTTAAAGCTTGTATATATTTTTTAATTGATAATATAATATGTTATGGAATTTATATTTTATAGAATACATTTATAAGGGAATTACAACAAATTTTTAAGTAGGCAATATTTATAATAAGCTGGAAGTGGCATTCTTATTTTAATCCTATAAAAATTTTAGTAAGTTTTAAAATACGCAAGGCAGAATATGGTTTTACAAAATTTTATGGGGGTATGAAGACCACTGGTCCAAACCCATGTGAGGATCCATTTTCTTACACCCTTCTCTATGCAGAGTTCAGACTCTTTTTATGGTGCTTCAAATGCTGGGTTGGGAATAAGTCTAAGGACTTAAATTTCTCCGTGAGTTTACTAGGGCTTTACACTCAAGAAAGCCTTCCAATATTTCCAATATTTCCTAGAGAGTGCATTTACTATTGATAATTTGTCTTGTGTACTGCATGACTTGTTTACAGATGTCAGCTGTCCAAAATGTTGGGCTGCATGGAAAGAGAAGGTACAGAGGAATCACTTTTTGTCAGTACCTGCCTCTGAGACTGTGAATAAGATTACATCTTTTCTCCAACAGGATGCTGGGCAGAGTTCCCACCCTGCTGGAGGTGTCTAGGTCCGAGCTTCTAATAGACTGCCTACTAAGTACAGATGTAAAAATGCAAATGTAAAAACTTTATATTGGTTCAATGTAAACTTCATGTTTTTTTAGAGCGGAAAGGGAGTTGACAGGGTGCAAGAAGGAGACTTTGCCTGTGAAGCACACTTTAGAATATGTAACTTCACAACTAGAGTCTTTGCCAGCAGCCGATTTACCATGTTGATTGGGAGTAATAATCCTTCCATTGTTTTCTCTCCTGCTGTGGAAAATCAAGTCTTGGCCACACATTCATATATCAGCATCGCCTGCACCAATTATCCTGTTTATTAATGCAAATACTTGTAATTTCTTTTAGTCCTCTAATTCAGTAGAGAAAACATAAGGATATAGATCTGAAATGTAGTTTTATTTTTACTTCCTTCACATAAATATTTTTTCTTATACTGAAGTTTATTTTGGACCGATATAAAGCTTTTTACATTTATCTTTATGTGCTAATGTTTTGGGTTTTTTTACTTAATATAAAATCATTTACCAAAAATTAAAACCTAAGGATTTTGTGAAATGATATACTCTGAGTTAATAATGTACATGAACTTACAGAATGGTATTGTATATTACCATTTTTATTATCTCTAGGCTGGCCATCCGTAAGCAATGCCTCATCTCTGATTTCCAACTCTTACCTGAATTAACCTACCAGAAGTCTCATTTTGCAGGCATCTGTACTTAGGCAGTCTATTAGAAGGAAGGTGTTCAAGATAAAGCATTCATTGCTGATAAATGTAACTATTATAATTCTAGAGAATTTATTTTCAATTCACAAAAATTCCTTAGTTATTCACAGAACTGAATCTAATGGAGAAATATAAAACATCAGGCTAAGATTAACCCCAGAAGGGAAAAACTTTGTGTATGTGTGACTTGTCCCAGGAACCTCAGATCATACTTTATAGCAAATTATCTTTTCTGATTATACTTCATATGAAAATACTTATATTTTCTGTTATAAAACAGTTATTTTAAAGATCACATTTGGGGGCCATTTTTCCCCAATAGAATGTGCTGGTACATATTCTACTAATGAGTTAGGAATCCTTTAATTAAATCATAAATTGAACTAAAAAACCGTTATAATAAATAAATGCAAATGATACTTACTCGTTCAGAGGTGAACAGACAAAGCCAGAAGCATGGTTATAACCACGGATGTAATGTGAAGATGGAGGAAATCCTGGAAAATCCACACTTATAGCTAAGTAATTTAAAAAGAAATAAAATGAAACCTCTTCCACAAAGGTAAAAAATTCTATTTCAAGCAGTATGTTTTAAATATATATATATATAACACAGCTTTTAATTTAACTTAGGCATTATCAGCACTGACATTGGGTTTATACATGGGCTGTATGTTTGTACATATGAATGTGTACACAGGCCAAAACTGAGAAAGTACCGGTTTGAGCACAATTGTCCTCTCAAACATTTTCACGCTAGTATTTCTAAAGATGATGTTAGCTTTTACATACAGGAAAAACTGTTCAAAGTATCATTTTATTACTTTCTGAGATTTGAAGCAAAAGAAATCAAAAGAAAAGGGCTAGTAGGAGAATGGGTTTGTAGACTTTTTGTTAAATCATTTTTTTAAAAAATATATTGAATGTATTTATTTGGCATGTCAAGGAAGGTAGTTTAAATGTCCTTTTCTGCAAATTCTCTACATTCAATGTGAAATTAAAAATCAGAAAGTTTGCCCAACCGGTGTGGCTCAGTGGTTGAGCATCGAGCTATGAACTAGGAGGTCACAGTTGGATTCAGGCAAGGCACATGCCCAGGTTGCCGGCTTAATTCCCCAGTAAGGGGACGCACAGGAGGCAGCCAATCAATGATTCTCTCTTCCCTTCCTCTCTGAAATCAATAAAAATATATGTTTAAAAAATCAGTAGAGTTGTTTTAGGAATTATGCAGTATAATTGTATATGAATATAGAAGGGAGGTGATTTGATTATGATTGCTTATGATAATTATATGTACTCTTTCAAAAAATATTTTTAAAATATATTTATTATGTGCAACTGAATCCTGCTCTTGTCAGAGAAGATGGATTTTCCCATGTGGTTTTAACATAAGCTATCAATTCTGTAGGAAGTAAAATGTTAAGCATTAGCTTTGGTCTAGCTTAAGAAATGTGTGGTTGAATGAATTTTCCATTTTTATTACTTGTTTCATCACCTTAACAGAACCTATTATGTTGGCATAATGGTACTTCCAGAAGTGATAGTAACATATTTTCCCTGTTTAAAATATGGAGATTATGCTTGTTCGTAAAAGAAAATTTGTTTTATTCCACGAACAGATATGGGTCTTTAGTGAGGAATACTGGTTTGGTAGTTAGCACTGATTTTGGAAAACTAGAAAGACTGTGTTTTAATTCTGGTTCAGCAGCTTATCCCTATCTAACTTGTTTCTCTGAACTCCAGTTTCCTTACTGGTGAGATAAAGATGCAAAATATTTAGCTCAAAGCATAGTAAAGAGAAGAAAACTATCAGTATTCATTGATAATTTATTCAAAGAAATTTCTTAAAGCAAATTCAGTACTGATCACTGGATGACTGATTACAGCCATTTGTTGACTGTGACTTCGTACTTCTTTTTTACCGCTAAAAATGAGATAGAAATGGTCTGCTTTCAAAACACAGAAGACAGCAGATCTATGACTCAGACACTATTTCGCATTGTAGACAGTGAGTAGATTTTTATCCGCCCTCGTTTTAAAACTGAGATAACTAAATGACAACTATAGGAAAGGGGTGAACATCAGCCCTTAGCAGTATGCTGCACCAGAGGTAAGTTTGTGTGAGTGCCATTAGCACAACTATGACTCAGTCTAGACTCTGGAACTTAGTACCACCGACACATCAGAAACCTTGTTGGGAAATAATAATTAAAAGCACTTAACTGTCCCTATCTCCACATAGCTTACAGGGAAAGCTATTCAGAGAGTAGTGGTCAGATTAAACTAAGTTATGGAGACAGAGGCCGCTGTCCTGCCATAGCTCCTTCCTCATGACCTATTTGGAGTTGTGTGGCCCCAGTGACCTTCATGGTATGAACTGGTAATGTTTCAAGTGAATAATACATGTTAAGAAATTGTCTCACATTGGGGTTTTACTGGGAGGCTAAGGATACATCAAAACCTCTAAAAGAAATATAAGCATCATTATATGTAAAGATTCATCTAGTGAAAACAGTTACTGGATAAGCTCATTCTTTGCAGTTCAAATATAAAATGATATATCTGAAGATTACGGTAGTTTTGAAATGTTTGCTGTGCAGATTCAGCCTACAGGGATTTACCTGCACTCAGCGCTGTGGTTATATGCTGCAAAAAGGCCAGAAGATGCCACCACCATTGACTGTGATGTAAAAGGCACCTCCAGAGTCGGGCCAGTCTACATTATACATGTATGTATTATATTAGTCTCCCCAAGTAAATAAAAGATAAAACATTGAAAAGATATTTCTTCCAAAACGTGAGCTAAAAGGAAACATTATTAATAACTCGTAGTAATTCTAAAATGTGGGCAAAAACATTTCAACTTACAGCTGATCACATACACATTCCCGTCACAGCGCTTGAAGTATACCATGTTGATAAAGTCTCGGGAGGAAATGGAGCCCATGGCAAAACTTTGTGTAACGGCATGACATATGAATGTGTCCTGAAACAAACCAAACCATAAAGATGGCAACAGTTAGTTAACGTCTATTCCTTGTACTGCTCCCCAAAGGATTTCCCTGTAGAAGATTGGCCTCTACTTGGAAAAAGCAGGACTTTGCAATTTTAAAAACCCAAACAACCTGCATTTTCTGTGTTAAAGGAACATTAGATATTATTATACCAGTAAGTACAAGACAACAAAAGCGAAAACAAACAAGTGGGACTACAAACTAAAAAGCTTCTGCACAGTAAAGGAAACCATCAACAAAATGAAAACGGCTGCCAGTGTGGCTCAGTGGTTGAGTGTCAACCCGTGAACCAGGAGATCACAGTTTGATTTCTGTTCAGGGTACATGCCAAGGTTGCAGGCTTAATCCCCCAATAAAGAGAGTTTGGTTGTCTCTCACTGACCTCCCTGCTGGTCAGTGCACTCTCTCAGGGGGAGATCCGCTCAGCCACAAACCGGGCTGAAGGCTACGAGCAGAGAGGAATCGAGGAAACCTCTTCTGCCTCCTCGGCAGCACTAAAGATGTCTGATGGATGGCTCCCAGCCTGCCAGAGTGATGTCTGACTGCCAGCGTAGGCCCAATCCCCCAGGGAGCAGGCCTACGTTAGCAGGTGGACATCCCCTGAAGGGTCCCAGATTGCTAGAGGGCATAGGCCGGGCTGAGGGACCCCTCCCCACCGAGTACACGAATTTTCATAAACTGGGCTTCTAGTCCTATATAAAAAAAATCCTAATATGCCAAGTGTCTGGTCATCCATTCAACCAATCAAAGTGTAATATGCTAATGATATGCTAAGGCCACTTAACTGCTCGCTATGATGTGCACTGACCACCAGAGGGCAGATACTCCGACTGGTAAATTAGCTTGCTGCTGGGGTCTGGCCAGTCAGGACTGAGCAAGATGGGCCGGACATGCCTTGGAATCCTCCCCAATCCCTCCCCTGCCCCAATTATGCACTGGTGGGGTCCCTCAGCCTGGCCTGTGCCCTCTCACCATCCGGGACCCCTCAGGACATGTCAGACAGCTGGTTTCAGCCTGATCCCGCAGGTTAATATAAATATACTGGCTTCCCTTTAATAAGGCATGTTTAATCTTTTCTCCACCTAATGTTGGAGAATCCAAGAGTTTGTCCCCTCATAACCAAAGGCACACATCTTCGAGAGAGCTAACCAGATTCAGAACGTGGTGTGCATTTAAAACAGAAAGAAGCCAATTACAATTAAACTCTTGAGTGATAAAGAAGGAAGTTTTAAGGTTTTTATAAGATTTAAACTCAATGTGAATCTATAAAATATGAAGTGTCTACCTAATATAGGTTTAATAAACTTAAATCACTAAGATATAAAAAATATATTAATAAAGGAAAGGTTTAATATTAAGCAACAAATTACCGAATCAATCTTGTGTATCAGAGTGTACTCTTTCAATGATTTATCCCATGTAATTCTAATTTCAGGCTTGAAGAGGAAATCAGCTAGTTTAGATGTTGATTCTGAAATTATTCCTTCAACACGATATCTATAGTTAACAAAATAAAGAAAATTCAAAATTTAGCTAATTCAGTCTAAGTTGAAAATATAATGTTATCATAGTATAACACAGACTAATTTAGCAATCAACAGTAAAGAAAATTTGAGGGTCATATCAGCAATTCAAAACACTAATATTCAATTAGAAGTAGCAAGGTTTATTTAAATATCTTATAATAATTAATATAAATTATTTCAAGGTTCATTTTTCTAAAAACTTTGTTTATAATGTTTCTGTAGATTTAAAAAATATATAGTTTTATTGATTTCAGAAAGGAAGGGAGAGGGAGAGACAGAAAGATCAACGATGAGATAGAACCATTGATCTGCTGCCTCCTGCATCTCCCCATGGGGATCGAGCCCACAACCTGGGCATGTGTCCTGACCAGGAATCAAACTTCAACCTCCTGGTTCATAGGTTGATGCTCAACCACTGAGCTATGCTAGCTGGGCTGTAGATATTTTTCTAGAGGGCCAAATTTCATTTAGGATTTTTCTGAAATCTCTCTTATAAACATTTACCTGCTATGTTTATAATAAGTCAACAATAATTGATAAGAAGTTTGTGTGGCTATGCAGCACCTTTCAGCCCTAAATCTCAATTTAAGTATGTAATATGGTATAAATAAGAGGTCAGCAAACTTTAAACTTTAGATACATAAATGCCACTGAATTCAAAACAATGATTGCAAATAGGAAATTGTACTTACAGATTTCCAAGGAATTTTTTAGAAGCCTTGCTAGAAACAGTTATTTTTTTCTCAAAGGGGAAAAAAATTAACAAATAAGTTAGCTGCCAAGTACAGAAAAAGAAAAAGAAAAAAAACAACAAAATAAAACAAAGCAAAAATGGTTTGTTTGTAAAAAAAAATGTTTTTTACAACGAACTGTTTCTCATTTAAAAACAAAATCTTGAAAGATATTTGTTTTCTTACAGAAGATTTAACCACTTTCCAGCTTGATGTATCTTGACTGTAACCTAAAATCTCTTGAGCAGTTTGTTGGGCAAGTACCTTATAGTCCATCTACCTGCAAAGGTTTAAAAAGAAATGACTGGTAAGAATATGATCAAGCAAAGTTTTAAAACGCTGTGTTACATTTGATTACTGGTTCTACAGTGCCCAGCACATGGCAATGAATGGTAATTACCTGTGGAATGCCCGCAGGCAAGAGTCCCCTCCTCCCTGTTCGCAATGAGAGAAACTGTGGACGTGGCATCACACAAAGGCAAGGCTCTGGAGACCTGGCTCGCCTCCTCTCTCTGCCGTGGGCTAATTGTGAACCACATTATTTGATATTTCTGTTTCCCCATTTTCTCAAGTTTTAAAACTGGGATAGTACCTAACCTCTAGAAGTAACGTGAGGATTGAAATAATGCACTTAAATGTCCTTCCCTATTGCTAGGCATATAACAATCAATCAATAAATCATTATTATTTCTATCAATCATGCCTTTTTTTTCTTTCTTTCTTTTGCAAAGCACCACAATCTGTTGATCAGGTGTTCTTGGAAATTCATCTGTTTGTTTTTTTTTAATCTATTTTATTGATTTCTTACAGAGAGGAAGAGAGAGGGATAGAGAGAAACATCGATGAGAAGGAAACATCAATCAGCTGCCTCCTGCACACCCCCTACTGGGGATGTGCCCGCAACCAAGGTACATGCCCTTGACTGGAATTGAACCTGGGTCCTTTCAGTCCACAGACCAACGCTCTATCCACTGAGCCAAACCAGTTTCGGTGGAAATTCATCTTTTTAAAGTGAGTGGCACTAAATGATTTGACCCCTGGCTTTCTCTCCAAAGGCAACTCCTGCCTTCAACTCTCCCACTTAGCTGCTGTTCCTCAAAAGCAACTAAGCATCTTTCTACCTCAGGGCCTTTTACTTGCTGTTCCCTCTGCTTGTAACATTCTTCCCCAATATGGATGTCTAACTCATCTTCCCTGGTGTCTTTGTTTAAACGTCAGACAGTATATAAAGTTAGAATCAACTCAGTAGGGGTTAGGTATCGAGGTAGGTATGGCAAATACAGTTGAGTAAGATATTGTTTCTGCTGTGAATGAGTTCAGGAGCTAGAGTCTCATTGATCCTTCAGCCCATCATCTCGTTTTCAGTTGAGAGAAGCTGGCTGGACCTAACCGACTTGGCTCAGTGGATAGGGTGTCAGCCTGTGGACTCAAAGGTCCCAGGTTTGATTCTGGTCAAGGGCATGTACCTTGGTTTCCGGCACATCCCCAGTAGAAAGTGTGCAAGAGGCAGCTGATCAATATATATATTATTGATTTTTCTTACAGAGAGGAAGGGAGGGTGATAGAGCATTAGAAACATTGATGAGAGAATCATGGATCAGCTGCCTCTTGCACACCCCCCACTGGGGATGTGCCAGCAACCAAGGTACATGCCCCTGATCGGAATCGATCCCGGGACCTTTCAGTCTGCAGGCCGACGCTCTATCCACTGAGCCAAAGCGGTTTCGGCTAAAATATATTTTTTGAAAAAGATCGAGAGCGAGAGTGAAAGAGAGAGAGAGAGAGAGAGAGAGAGAGAGAGAGAGAGAGAGAGAGAGAGAGAGAGAGAGAAGCTGGCTGGTATGGTGGGAAGAGGGTGACAGCACAGAACTGGATTCATATCCTGCCTTTGCCATTCACACCAGCTATATCACTTCGGATAAATTGCTTAACTTGAATTTCAACTTTCATATCTATATCTTTTTTTCATATATACAGATAAGGAATAATAATACCTGTCTCATGGGGTCATTGTACAGATTGAGTTAATATGTGTAAAAGGGATTGAAACAGTGTGAAGCCCCTTCTTGGTGATCAAAAAGGTTAGTTTCTGTTCTTAAAATGGACTCATCTAGAACTACCTTTTAAAAAAAAAACTCTCCAGCCAAAACCGGTTTGGCTCAGTGGATAGAGCGTCGGCCTGCAGACTGAAAGGTCCCGGGTTCGATTCCAGTCAAGGGCATGTACCTTGGTTGCGGGCACATCCCCAGTGGGGGGTGTGCAAGAGGCAACTGATCAATGATTCTCTCTCATTGATGTTTCTAACTCTATCCCTCTCTCTTCCTCTCTGTTAAAAAAATCAATAAAATATATTTTTAAAAAAAAACTCTCCAAAGAGCTGCCTCAATAAACCTTCTTAAAGTTTAATTTTCAGGATACGTCCTCCTTAGCTCTCACCTAAAGCTCTTTAGGTTGGAAGATAAATCTATTTTCTCCTGTTTAGTTCTCCATCAAGGCATGACACGTGATTGACATTTCTACTTGAAAAGCTTTCATATACCACTGTAACTGCTCTTTCCTAATAGATTCTTAGTTTCTTTATCTTTCCTAATAGATCTAGTCCAGAATTTTAACTCTTCAGACTCTTCTCCAAATCCTTCTGGAGGTCTCCATATCTCTCTTTTTAAAAAAAATATTTTTATTTTTTACAGAGAGGAAGGTAGAGGGTTAGAGAGTTAGAAATATCGATGAGAGAGAAGCATCGGTCAGCTGCCTCCTGTACACCCCCTACTGGGGATGTACCCACAACCAAGGTACATGCCCTTGACCGGAATTGAATCTGGGACCTTTCTATCCACTGAGCCAAATCGGTTTCGGCCTCCATATCTCTTTAACTATGAAGGAACAAAGTGGAAGTAGAGTTATTTTGATCCACGAATTACACCAATTTATTTGATATGTTTCTTTATGTCTTCTCCGTGTCCTTTATTACACTTTATGCTCTTATTAGGAACATGTGCACATTATATATACTCCAAGATGAAAGAAAAAGGTAGAAAGAGAAACATTAAAGATATTGTCAATGAAAAGGACTGTTAAATTATTTTAAAGAATGACTAGTTAAAAAAACATTTAGGTGGAATGTGGATTTTAAAAGTCTAACCTTTTAAAAAATATATATTTTTATTTATTTCAGAGAGGAAGAGAGGGGGAGATAGAAACATCAATGATGAGAGGGCATCATTAATCGGCTGCCTTCTGCAGCCCCCTACTGAGAATGAGACCTGCAACCTGGGCATATGCCCTTCACCGGAATGGGACCCGGGACCCTTCAGTCCACAGGCGGAGGCTCTATCCACTGAGCCACACCGGCCAGGGCAAAAAGCCTAACTTTTTAGGCTCATGCCATTAGCAGTCCGTGGCCGGCCCCTGACCTGGATTTGTCTCAGCAAATATAAATTATTTATTTCCAACCAGCAGCATACATGATATTGACTAATTCAGAAATTGCACCGATTACAGAAACATACCGCTAGAGTGTAAACTGCAGGGACTCTGTCCAATTCATTGTCAAATCACCTAGCACTTACTGCCACAATAAACATGTGTTTAATTGAACCACTCAAATGAATTTTATCGTTTCTGGATTTTTTTTTCATTTGCTAAGAAAAAATCAAAGATTAAGTCCAGCGGGCTAGGGAGAAGGAAAACAAGAGAGAGCAAGCGGCAAGAACACTGTTATATCTACCACCTGGCAGTGTGACATGGGCTGAGTGCGGTCTGTTCCGGTGGAGTGATCAGGGTCTCTTCGCCCGCAGGGTCAGTGGGAAAGAAACACAAACCAACACTGCGATGGCATCTTCTTGGATATGCCACTTGGTTGAAACTGGGTTCTTCGCACCTCATCTCCTGAGCCGGCCTTGAGGGCAGTTCACACACGTTGTTACGTGGGTCTTTACATCTGTCTGTACAGCATAATCTCCCTCTTCCCGGGCTGCCTGCCTGGGTCCCCGGTCCGTACGGGGTCACTGCCGTTCTTCCTGGGAATCCAGGACCCCCAGGAGTGTGTTGGACCCGAGCCCTCCTTCCTCCGATCCGATCCCGCATCTGCTTTGAGTGTGAGGGGCTGGGGAGCCCAAGGGGGGCCGGGCTCGGGGAGGAAAAAAGGAAGGAACTGAGGAGGGAGGGGAGGAAGCGGTCTGGGACGTCGCCCGTGGCCCAGATGATGTCTTATCCTGGAAAGAGATGCTCCGGAAGCGAGGGGACCAGCGCACTTGGAAGGAGTGGAGAGCTGGAGTCCGAAATCCCAAATCTCCGCTACCGAGTGCCCTCATTCGGCCCCGGGAGCCGGCGGAGAGGGAGGTGGGAGAGGGCGCGAGCGGCAGCGACGTGGATGCGCGTAACCAGAACACCCACCCCAGAGGGATGCGTAGGGGGGGAACTACACTTCCCAGCAGGCAGTGCGACTTAACGCCCTCCGGCCCTCGGCTGACTGCCCCCCCCCGCCCCCGGGCGCCGGAGCACCACGCATGCGCACCGCGAGCCGGCGCCATGTTGGGTCAGTTTGAAAGCCCGCGCGGGCGTCGAGCTCCGCTGTGACGGCGGAGGAGGATGCTGCGAGCGAGCGGAGCCTGAGGCGCGGGCGGCGCGGTGGCCGACAGGGATGCTCTGTTGCGTCTCCCGCCGGGCGACAGGCCTGGGTGTTCGGCGGGCAGTTGTACGAAGTGTGCGTTTTTATTTCTCTCTAGTGGTCTGGACCTTTGTCGGCGAGTTCGGCCCGATAAAGCGGGGCCGGGGTTTCGGGGGGCGTCCGGTCCTCTGACAGCCCGAGGGGGAGGCTCCGGGGCGGGTGGCGGGGAGGGAGGGAGGGGAAAAAGACGCCTCTTGCGGGAGGGCGCTCGCTGAGAGTCCCTGCGGGAGAGGGACCGTTTTAGGGGGAGGATCGCGGATCCGGACCGAGGGTACCCGACGTGGGTCGCGGGGAGTCGAGGTGTCGATGGGAGTGGGGGTGCGGGGTGGGGGCTTGGCTCTGGGGGCCATCACCCCGAGGGTTTCGGGTGCTCCTCGTCCGCTCCCGAGGCGCTGGTTCTCTCGCCTGAAGGATGATGGTCTCGGAGCAGCCGTGCCGGGTCGCGGGGATCCCCAGGGAAGGGCGCCCCCGGGACGCGGGCGGGGGCGGTTGGAGCCCAACGCCCGGAGGAGACGGGGTGCCCCGGGGCGGGGGCGCCGGCCCTCCCGCCGCCGGCTCACATGCTCTCTTTTGCTCCATCAGAGCCGGCCCGGAGCCGTCATTCCTAAGAGTTGTTCATTGATGGTGAGCTGTTCCCATTGGTTACTTAATACGGAACCTTGTGATTTCGAAATCAAAGGTGGTGGACTTCCCCCCCCCCCCCCCCATTCGTTTCACATTCCGTTCGGGATGATGGGCTTCCGTATCGATGCAGATACGAACGGGTGTTCATGGAAGAAAGAGTAAGATGTTCGGGATCTGCTTCCAAATATTCCTGGGGGGAGAAGTGGGAGGTCAACGGAAGTGTGGGTCTGCCGGGAATTGTTTGAAAGCAGAATGATAGCTGCAAAGGGGATTGTTAAATGCTTCCCCCACACACACACACTTTTGTTTACTTTTGTAAACTTTCCGCAATGATAGTTCTGTGGTCGATTTTTGTTTATTTTTTTGCCTCCGGAGAATTAAAAGTTAATTGCCCACGTACTGAGGACCACAATCCATCAACGGTGCCTTTTAGGGTTTTGTTTTTGTAAAATTAAAACAGGTAACTTGTGTTCGAATAAGGGAGAAAACGTTTGGTCAGGTTTTATTATTCAGGCAATATTAACGAGAAAATGGAAGCATCTTTGGGGACTGAAGGGTCCTGGGTTCGATTCAGGTCAAGAGCATGTACCTTGGTTGCGAGCATATCCCCAGTAGGGGGTGTGCAAGAGGCAGCTGATCGATGACTCTTTCTCATCGATGTTTCTAACTCTGTATCTCTCTCCCTTCCTCTCTGTACAAAATCAATAAAAATATATTTAAAAAATGAAAGAAAACGGAAGCATCTTTAGGAAGTAGGGCGAAGAAAAGGCAAAAAACCTATCATCTGGCCGAAACCAGTTTGGCTCAGTGGATAGAGCTTCCTGTCCCAGGTTCGTTCGATTCAGGTCAAGGGCATGTACCTTGGTTGCCAGCACGCACCCAGTAGGGGATGGGGGGAGGGGGGGAAATGCAGGAGGCAGCAGATATTTCTCTCTCATTGATGTTTCTAACTCTATCCCTCTCAATTCCTCTCTGTAAAAAATCAATAAAATATATTTTTTAAATAATATTTTTTAAAAACCTGTCACCTGGTACTGCACGTCTTGGTTACTAGCATACAGATTCCAGGCCTGCAATTGCATAATAAAAACATCGTCTTCATGGTGAGCTGTGTGCTCTCTACCTAAAGTCTTGTCTCCTTCGGACACCATGTATTTGACCCCTTTACCCCACTCCTATTCCCTTCCCCTCAGGTACCCATACTGTTGTCTGTGTCTGAGTTTCTGTTGTTTTCTGTTTTATAGCCCACATGTGAGTGATGAAATCCTACGGTTCTTGTCCCTTTCTGTCTGACTTCCTTTGCTTCGCATGATACTCTCGCCATCGACCCATGTTGCAAATGGCGCATTCCATCCTTTCTGCAGCTGAGCGGTATTTCATTGTATCCATAGCAGACACCCACCGAGGGACCCTTAGGTTGTTCCATGTCTTTGCTGCCGGGACTAGCTGCCTGGCCATTGGTTAGTGTTACACCAGCGTCACCGCATTCGGGGAAAGCAGAGGCTAAGCATTGTGTTCTGTTGCTGCTTCCACGCACTGCTTTCAGCTCTTGCAAAGGCAGTGACACGGTTGAAGGTTGGGTGGAGGATGTTTTACTCTGTCTTTAGCCAAAAGTTAAACATACTAACTTTATAATATTATAGCATGTATTAAGTTCTAGACATGAAAGTTTTATTTTCAGTACAGAAAATCCATTGATTTAATTTTTAAAAGAATGTCACATTGTGCACTGAAGTAGTGCCTGTTCATTTTGTTATTTCTTAGGGCTTCAAATATAAATCTTGTTATTGTTAGGAATTCTGCTAATTTTAATGATGCAAAAGCAGTAAAATGAATACATTAAGTAAGTTTTCTAATTAAGTCTCCTTTAAAAGAGAGGTAGTCTGAATCTGCTTAATATAAGAATTGAATATAGTAAGGATAGTACCAAAAATGAAGGTCAGAAAATGATTATTAACTAGACGCCCGGTGTACAGTTCTTTGACCTGGCCTAGGCCCTCTCACAATCCAGGGTCCCACCAGTGCACAATTGGGTCAGGGAGGGACCCCATCTGCAGGAACCCTGCCACAAGCTAACCTACTGATTGGCGTGTCTGCCCCCTAGTGGTCAGTGCCCATCATAGCTAACAGTCGACCGGTTGCTTAGGCTTTTATTTAGATAGATGTTTTAGGAAAAGAGCATTTTGCACTCCATTGTGAAGGAGTTGGCTTAAGTTACATATTGGCATTTACAACATTCTCCACTGTTCCTTCTTGTTTTTAATACATCATTTGATGCATTTAAAATTTATTGAGGACCTACTATCTGTAGTGCATGGTGGTAGGCTTATGAATTGAGAAGTATTATGTATAAAGGAATGTTAAGTATTGTGATGTCATAGAATATATTACCATAAGAAAATACTATGCAAATCAGTTGTTTGGGGATGTATAAAGAAAGTGAGTTCCCTTTCCTTGGTACTTTTTATTCATGTTCTCAGATAATCTTTATATATATAATTCCAGGCACATAGAAAGTACTTAATAATTGTTTTCTAAACAAATGATGAAGGAATTCACAATAACTAAAATAAAAATCTATAATATGTATTGCCTTTAAAGGATTTATAGATAATGCATTTTATTCTTTAAAGAAAATTATGAAAAAGTTTACATATAGAATAATTTCTCTGTATATGGCAATTATTCCTTTTGGAACCTTAACCTTTTGTTTTTGTATTACAGTGGTTTCTAAGAAAAATGAACATAAATAACCCATTTTGAGGAAGGCATGGCAAAACCAAATACAAAGCACAGAGTTTGTTCTCGGGAATCGTCAGTATCTTCTCTGTTAGCAAACTGCAGCCTCAGTGGTAGTAATTTCTCTAATCCTGATATCACTGTTCAGTATAAGGATAAACTGTACAGTTCTGCATCTCAGGCTCTACAGGCCTATATTGATGATTTTGATCGAAGCCAGATGTATCCTGGTGTAAGCACTGGAAAGATTAACATTGATAAATGTCCTGCTAATATGCCAGAATTCTCCAACTATATTTATCAACCAAACCATGGTATGCTTTTATTATTTGTTTTCTTTTTGTCTACTGATTTAAATCACTTGAAATCCAGATGCTTCTTTTTTTATTCTTTTGGGGTAAAAATTACTTTTATAATGTTGAGATCTGACTGTATTTCTTAAAAGATGTTTACTTATCTGGTACTCAGGAATTTTCAGCTAAGATCCCCTTGCTACCTTGGAGTGGAAGCTCCTGAATTACAGCAGGTGGCTGATCCTAAATCCTTAAGCCGTTTATTATAGCATTGCGAAAAAAGTGTTGACTTGGTGGTGTTAGTTTTCATTTAATAGCTTAATGACTTTAAGTGAGTCTCAGCCTTTCTTAGTTTATACTTGTTTCTATGCAATTGATTGCAAAGGATTATATTAGTCTTCCTGATTTGTATTCTATGGAACAGTAATATTCACACTACATTGAGTTTTTCCTTCATAAGGCTTTTATGAAGACAAATTTGGAATATGAGTCTGTTGATAACCAGTTACTGAGCACTTATTAGCCCTAGTATGGAAAAAGTTTGCATTCAAATCTTAGAAGGATATGGGCACTATTCCAGAAGAGAATTAGAACAGCTATTTGCTATCGCAGAGTTAGTAAAGAAAACAAATTATTTCCCACCTAATTTATTTACAAACATTTCCAAATCCTGTGTTGCAGCCAGTATTGAGTGACCAATATTAATGTGAGTGTGTCAGTGGATTGCGTATGTCTAGATGAAAAAAACTGAAGGAACAGTAAATTAAAGAACATGGAAAAAATCAAGAGGTTGTAGAGATAAGGGTAGAAATTAGTTAAATGGATATGTGAGGGAGAAAAAGCACATTCTATTTCGTCAACCTATCCTGTTTATTCTTTTAATCAACTTTATTGAAGATCATGGGGAAGTGGCAAAAATGGTTCTTTAATTCTTTTTTTCTTAAATTCTTAATTCTCATTTACTGTTGAATATTTTGAAGTGTTTTTATATGCGATATGGGAAGATAAACAGAAGTATGCTTTGTTTTTCAGCTTTCGAAAAATTTGATCACAAAGAAGGCTCCTTGTCCTTATCTTCTAGAAGACGGACTATTAATGACATAGATTCCATTAGCCTAACAACTGATGATCTGTTAAGACTTCCAGCAGATGGATCATTTCCTTTTACTTGTGTTGGACCAGGTCATCAAATTACCAAGAAAACCAAGAAATGCATTGGAAGACGGAGTTTATCGGACACTGAAAAGAATCAAAATTTTCAAGAACCCTGCATTGCCAGGAGCAAGGATTACTTAGTTACTCCTGTTGTACATACAAATATAAATGGAAAGCAGTGTCATAAGCTAAAAAACTTAAAACTTGTGAATAAGACGACTAAATGCATTTCTGATCCATCTTTTTTTAAGAAATCATCTTTCAAGGACAGTTCAGAACGAGATCTTGAAAAGAATTACCCACGATGGCTCACTGGCCATAAATCTGACCTTAATGTTTCAGGGATAACTAGTATACCTGACTTCAAATATCCAGTCTGGCTCCACAATCATGACTTGCTACCTGACACAAATAGTCAAAGTACTTATAAAGTATTTAAAAACGAGCAGTGTTCCCCAAGACATAGTTATCAGGCACAAAGAACTTCTCGACCTATGAATAAATTAGATTGTTTTGAATATTCTTATGAACCTTCAAATATTTCAGATTTCTTGAGTAGTGGTCAAGGATTTGGTAATGAATATAAATGTGATTCTGAGCATAGCCAATGTCAATGTGAGAATCCACTTCCAGGACAATCCAAAAAGCCATTCAATGGTAATTGTTTTTTGTTTTTAATAATCAGAGAAAATGCTGTAAATCTTACCTAATATCTAGGAGCTTTTTTTTTTAAATTTTTTTTTTTTACAGAGAGGAAGAGAGAGGGATAGAGACTTAGAAACATCGATGAGAGAGAAACATTGACCAGCTGCCTCTTGCACACCCCCCACCGGGGATGTGCCCGCAACCAAGGTACATGTCCTTGACCGAAATCGAACCTGGGACCCTTCAGTCTGCAGACCGATGCTCCATCCACTGAGCCAAGCCGGTTTTGGCAATATCTAGGAGCTTTTATGCTACATTCTTAATGTATTGATCAGATTGTATATACCGTATTTTCCAGTGTATAAGATGACTTTTGAAACGAAAAAAAGTCAACCGGGCTTTTTCAGTGGTCTGAATTCAGGTCTCAGCAGAGGGAACAGAGAAAAGAGGACGGATAGAAAGCACCTCACTTGGAAATCTAGGATGGCACTATACCACTGCCCTAGCAGGCTTTTTACTAGAACACAGTATAGCTTCTGGTACAGAACATATATAATTTGCATGCATAAAAAGCCTGCTCACATTGGCCAGAGTCAGAGAAGCGGTCTATTAAAAAAAGAACTGCTGTTGCCTTGGAAGTGGGGGGTAGTCTTATACAGCGAATATAGGCCTAAACCTATGTTTTAACTGTAAAATTAGGGGGTCGTCTTATACGCCGGAAAATGCGGTATTTTGAACTCTTATGTTTTTCATTTTAAGTAGCATTTTATAACTAGAAAATATCTACTTTTATTTGTTTGAAATGTAACATTTTGACATAATTTGCTATTAAAGATGTGTAGAGGGTATCTCCAAAAAATGTATACACACTTTAATAACTGGTAGCTCAATTTTGAAAATGAACCGTATTATAAAAAACACTGCCTTTACATTTATTCAAAGTGTGTGTATACATTTTGGGGGACACCCTGTATATATTCCAACTTATCTGAATCCTTGTTGCTTTATGAGATTTTGCAATGCTTTGCATTTACTTTTTTCTTAATTAATGTAGTCTTTTAAAATAGGTGACAAAATTGAATTACTTATCCTGAAGGCCAAGAAAAATCTAGAGCATTGTACTAAGTTACCGAAGTCTATGAAACAGGATGATAGTCCTTGTTCATTGGATAAACTGGAAGCAGAAAGATCGTGGGAAAATGTTCCTGTTACTTTGTAAGTATGTTATTAATGGAAAAGTCATCTAAGGTGACTAGTTTTCCATATGAAAAATGTATGAACATCTATTGTAATTTATTTTTATATAACTAGCAATGGTAATAACATGGTAATTCTGTAGAAAATAGTGTTCAGTGTTGCTTTGCTTGATATTTTTTATTTGTTACAAGATTGTGGGTTATGTAACAGGTACATTATGTAACATTTGTTTTTATTTCATGTTCCTTCTGTTGCACTATAAAATATTGATATATGTTTACTATGAGGAATTAGAACCAAAAGCAACTATTTTGTAGTAAGAGGAGGGCTATGGAAGTTTTATTACTTTCTTTCTACTATATTCTCTACATATATTAAGAGTTATCCATTTCTTTTCATTTACATTTTACTTTCTCTTTCAGTTATTTTCCTTAAATGATAGTTCATTTTTTAATCTAGTTGTATAAATTTTTATAATTCCTAAGATTATTTTCATTTGTATATTTAATGTTTCAATTATATATTGTAGTTTCTCAGAATAATTTAAGAAGTGTTCACCTAGATAACTGTGAATGTGAACTTAGAGTAAGGATTAATTTAGATAGGAAATATTTTTTTAGTGATATTATTATATCTAGACTTATTAAAAATGCATTCTTGGTAACCCTATATCCTGCCTTAGTTTCTGATATTTATTATATTCAGTTGTCTAGACTTTCATTTTGCCATAGATGGAGTTAATTAGTTAATTAGAGGCCCAGTGCACTAAATTCGTGCAGGGCGGGTGGGAGGCTGTATATCTCAGCCCAGCCTGTACCCTTTCCAATCTGGGATCCCTCTCATAATCCAGGACTGCTGGCTCCCAACTGCTCATCTGCCTGCCTGCCTGATTGTCCATAACCACTTGTGCCTACCCAGCCTGATCACCCCTAACCACTCCTCTGTCAGCCTGATTGATGCCTAATTGCCCTCCCCTGCCGGCCTGGTCACCCCTAACTGCCCTCCCTGCCAGCCTGGTCGCACCCAACTGCCTTCTCCTATAGGCCTGGTCCCCCCAACTGTTCTTCCCTGCAAGCCTGGGTTCCCCCACAGCTGCCCTCCCCTGCCAGCCTCATCACCTCTGACTGCTCTTCCCTGCTGGTCTGGTCTCCCCAACTGTCTTCCCCTGCATGCCCAGGTCCCCCCAAACTGCTCTCCCCTGCAGGCCTGGTCCAACTGCCCTCCCCTGCAGGCCTGGTCACCACTAACTGCCCTCCCTTGCAGGCCTGGTCCCCCCTAACTGCTCTCTCCTGCAGGCCTGGGTCCCTCCCAGGTGCCCTTCCCTGCAGGCCCGGTTGCCCCCAACTTTCCTTCTCTGCCAGCCTGGTTATGCCTAACTGCCCGCCCCTGCAGGCTTGATCATCCCCAAGTGCCCTCCCCTATTGGCCATCTTGTGGTGGCCATCTTGTGTCCACATGGGGGCAGCCATCTTGTGAGTTGGAGTGATGGTCAATTTGTATATTACTCTTTTATTAGATAGGATGGATCCTTTTTTGGTTACTTCTCAACTGAATGTCTTTATTTTTATTTATTTATTTTTAAATATGTGCACTGACTACAATACTGGTTTGAAATTCCAGCTCTGTCAGTTCTTACCTGAGATCTTGTACAAGTTTTGTTTACTTTGTATAATTCTACTTTATACAAGGTCTTGTACAAATTCTTTTGCTTTGGCGTTTTTGTGTGAGGATTCAATTGATTAGAAAAGAAATAAAAGCCGAAACCGGTTTGGCTCAGTGGTGGAGCGTCGGACTGCGGTCTGAGGGGTCCCGGGTTCGATTCCGGTCAGGGGTATGTACCTAGGTTGCGGGCACATCCCCGGTGGGGAGTGTGCAGGAGGCAGCTGGTTGATGTTTCTCTCTCATCGAGGTTTCTAGCTCTCTATCTCTCTCCATTCCTCTCTGTAAAATATCAATAAAATATATTTTTTTTTTAAAAAGAAAAGAAATAAAAGATACTTAAGTCAGGACATGGTAATCTCATAAATTGTAATTTGGTGATTATTCAAAATACTTTTTTTGTTTGTTTGTTTAGTTTCTTTTTCAACTAGAGGCCAATGCACGAAATTTGAGCAAGGGTCTTGTCCCTCACAGCCCCAGCTTCATCTGGAAGGACATTGGCTGTCCGGTCTAATTAGCATGTTATGCTTTTATTATTATAGATTGTTGGTTCAATAATATTTTTTAAATGAGTTAGTAGCTCTAATTTTTAAATTTATCTTTATTTCTTTTTTTGAAATATATATTTATTGATTTCAGAGAGGGAGATGTAGAAACATGAATGATGAGAGAGAATCATTAATTGGTTACCTTGCACGCCCCCTACTGGGGATTGAACCCGCAACCTGGGCATGTGCCCTTGACTGGAATTGAACCCAGAACCCTTCAGTTTGCAGGCTGGCACCCTATCTATTGAGCCAGACCAGCTAGGACTATCTTTATTTCTTAATTTCTCTATCAGTTGTTCTGTGTATTTGTAGAGTACCATAGCTGCAATACTTTGCTTTCACTTGGAACCCAAATGGATGAGCAAATAATATCAGAGGTATTTAAGGTATTAAAAATTTTAATGTCATTTATAGTTAAATAATATAACTTCTGGCTAATATAATTATTATTATCAGTTGTTTGGCCCAGTATTTTGTATACAGTAGTTGATGTTTAGAAGATTGGGTTCAGCTGAAACCAGTGTGGCTCAGTGGATAGAGTGTCGGCTTGTGGACTGAAGGGTCCCAGGTTCGATTCCAGTCAAGGGCATGTTACCTTGGTTGCAGACACATCCCCAGTAGGGGGTGTGCAAGAGGCAGCTGGTTGATGTTTCTCCTCATTGATGTTTCTAGCTCTCTGTTCTTCTTCTCCCTTCCTCTCTGTAAAAAATGAATAAAATATATTTAAAAAAGAAGAAGATAGGGTTTATATAGTGATGGGTATCCTATCTAATAAAAACGTAATATGCAAATTGACTATCACTCCAGCACACAAGATGGCTGCCCCCATGTGGTCAAAGATGGCTGCTTCCATGTGGACACCAAATGGCCAGCAGGGGAAGGCAGTTGGGAGGGAACAGGTCTGCAAGGGAGAGCAGTTGTAGGCGATCAGGCCAGGGGGGGGGGGGGGGGGGGCAGTTAGGGGTGACCAGGCCTGCAGAGTAAGGCAGTTAAGGGTAATCGGGCTGGAAGGGGAGGAGTTATACATCAATCAGGCTGGCAGGGTAGGAGTTATACATCAATCAGGCTGGCAGGGGAGGAGTTATACATCAATTAGGCTGGAAAGGGAGTAGTTAGGCATCAATCAGGCTGACAGGTGAGTGGTTGGGGGGTGATCAGGCTGGTAGGCAAAAGCGGTTAGGGGCAATCAGGAAAGCAAGCAGTTGGGAGCCAGCAGTCCTGGATTGTGAGAGGGATGTCCAACTGCCAAGTAGGATTGGACCTAAATGGGCAGTCAGACATCCCTTGAGGGGTCCCAGATTGGAGAGGGTGCAGGCTGCACAAATTTCATGCACTGGGCCTCTAGTGTTTATATATAAAATTAATGATGGATTGTTAGATGAAGGAATAGACCCAGACTTAGTATGACATTGGACAAATTATTATCTGTAAAAAAAAAAATTGGCCCTAGCCAAAACCAGTTTGGCCCAGTGGATAGAGCGTCGACCTGCAGACTGGAGGGTCCCGGGTTCGATTCTGGTCAAAGGCATGTACCTTGGTTGCAGGCACATCCCCAGTGGGGGGTGTGCAGGAGGCAGCTGATCCATGTTTCTCTCATCGATGTTTCTAATTCTCCCTCTCCCTTCCTTTCTGTAAAAAATCAATAAAATACATATTTTTAAAAAATTGGCCCTAGGTGGTTTGGCTCAGTGGATAGAGCGTCACCCTGTGGACTGAAGGGTCCCATTTCAATTCTGGTGAAGGGCACATGCCCAGGTTTTGGGCTCGATTCCCAGTGGGAATCTGGTCAAAGTCATGTACCTTGGTCGCGGGCACATCCCCAGTGGGGGGTGTGCAGGAGGCAGCCAATTAATTATTCTCTCTCATCATTGATGTTTCTATTTCCCTTTCTCTCTGAAATCAATAAAAAAGTATTTTTTAAAAAATTGAACTGAATGTACTCAAAATAATTAGCAAGGAACATCAATTTGAATCATATCTATAACAGTTATTTCTTTTTTTTAATATATTTTTATTGATTTTTTTTACAGAGAGGAAGGAAGAGGGACAGAGAGTTTAGAAACATCTATTAGCTGCCTTCTGCACGACCTCCACTGGGATGTGCCCGCAACCAAGGTACATGCCCTTGACTGGAATCAAACCCGGGACCCCTCAGTCCGCAGGCCGACACTCTATCCACTGATATAAACTGGTTAGGGCTATAACAGTTATTTCTTGGTCACCATTTATATTTAAATGATAACCATTCAATTATACAATGCATAATTTTTATAAATTGGGAACTTAATTGCTATCTTGTCTCTTAAACCCTATATAGTAAGTCTCCTGTTCCTATTAACTCTGATGACAGTCCTCAACAAGCTTCAAGGACAAAATATGCTAAAAGTTTCTTAGAGGACATTTTAAATGATGATGATCAGGTGGGTGAAGTTAAATCTTTTTAACTTATTAAAAGACTAGAGGCCCAGTGCATGAATTAAAAGACTAGAAGCCCAGTGCATGAACACTCATGCACTGGAGGGCAGTCCCTCAGCCTGGCCTGCCTCCTCTCACAGTCTGGGAGCCCTCAGGCGCAGGAGGTGACCCAGCAATCAGGGGAAGGCAACGCCCCATCACAACTCTACTGCCACTGCTGGCAGCTCAATCTGCAACCCTTGGCCGGCCCTGGTTATCTGAGCCTCGGGCAGCCCTGGGTGGCTGGGCAGCACCATCCGAGGCTTGCCTGCACCTCGGGCGACCATGGGCAGCTGGGGGGCTAAAAGGACTGGGGGACTCTAGAGGCAGGCATGTGGAGTGGCAGGGCCTGCCTGGGGCGTGGAAAACCAATATTCTGTGTGTCAAATATATTTTAAAATGTGTAGAGAATACTATTTTAAATTATAGTTCTTGCTCACCTGATAATCAGTTCCATTTATACATCTGAAAAGAGCAGGTTGACTTACCTGCACTCTGGGGATGTTTTAGTTCTAAAAATCTTTTATTTTTTTAAATTAAAAAAAAAATCTTTATTGTTCAGATTGTTATAGTTGTTCTTTTTCCTCTCTTGGATGGTTAATTGATCATCTGTTTTAACCTTAGAGCTATACTTTGTCTGGAGGAAAACATCATGGTCCTGTTGAAGCCCTGAAACAAATGTTGTTTAATCTTCAAGCCGTACAAGAAAGTTTTAATCAGAATAAAACTATGGAGCCAAAAGGAGAGCTTAAACAAGTAAGCACAAACTTGATTTATGAATTGGGATCTGTGAAGGGATAAGATTTCTTTCTAGATCCTCTTTAGTTTGACCTCTAGTTTCATGTTAATAAGCAAGTCACATAACACATGTTGTACAGTTGGATGATTCTTTTTTTTCTTCCCATAAACTTATTCACATTGAATATTATTAGATTTCTGCAGTTGTACATCCATGAATAGATTGTTTTATTTAGTTTATGGTTATAAATACACCATCTTATTTATTTATTTATTTATTTATTTTTTTTTTTTTTTTTTTTTTTTTTTTTAGTATTTTATTTTATTTATTTTTTTTCTGCCATTTTTTTTTAAATTAATTTATTTATTTATTTTTACATATTTTAATGATTTTTTTTGCCCCCCTCCCTCCCTCCCCCATAGCCCCTCCCTCCCCATAGTTTTATGTCCATTGGTTGTACTTATATGCATGTATACAAGTCCTTCGGTTGATCTATTATCTCCCCCAGATCCTCCTCCCCTCCCCGCTGTAATTTGACAATCTGCTTGTTGCTTTACTGTCTCTATATCTATCTTTTGGTTCATCAGTTTATAATGCTCTTTATTATCCACAAATGAGTGAGGTCATGTGGTGTTTCTCTTTCATTGATTGGCTTATTTCACTCAGCATGATGTTCTCCAATTCCATCCAGGTTGCTGCAAATGATGAGAATTCCTTCTTCTTTATGGCAGCATAGTATTCCATTGTGTAGATGTACCATAGTTTTTTGATCCAATCATCTGCTGACGGGCACCTAGGCTGTTTCCAAATTCTGGCTATTGTAGATTGTGCTGCTATGAACATAGGGGTGCATATATCCTTTCTGATTGTATAAATACACCATCTTATTTAGATATGATGATATCACAACATGGTATGAACGGATTGTAAAAGTTGTTTTTTAATTCCCTACAAAATTATTCTGTGAACTCCAACTTGTATTTATAAATCGGGGAGATTAGAAAACCTTTTTTTTTTTTTTAATCCTCACCTGAGGACCTTTTCATTGATTTTTAGAGAAAAAGAGAGATGAACATTAATGTGAGAGAAATATTGATTGGTTGCTGCACCTGCCCCACTGACCAGTAAGTAGGTTATCTTCTGATGGGGTCCAGCTGATGGTGACTGAGCGAGATAGGCTGTACATGCCCTGGAGCCCTGCCGTGGTCCCTCCCAGGCTGGCCAACCTCCTGTGTTCCTCCCTGCCCTGATCATGCACTGGTGGGGGTCCCTCGGCCTAGCCTATGCTCCCTCATAATCTGGGACTCCCTTGAGGATGTCAGGAAGCTCGTTTCGTTTCAGCCCAATCCCACAGGCCAAGGGACCCTACTGGTACACAAATCTGTGCACCAGGCCTCTAGTTAATAAAATAATTGCCCTAGTAATAAAAACATCAAAAAACTTAAATAGTAATACTTAAATTATTTAAACATTAAAATAAGTAATAAAAGTTTTTTAATATTGTTTTGATAAGATTATTAGTAGAGCTTTCTGAAATTCAGTTTTCATTACAAATGAGTAGATTAATTCTTGGGAACTATCACAGCCTGCTCTTTGGAGTTTTATTTCTTAATTTTTCTCTTTCCATTCTAATGACCATAACATTAACATAAAATGTGTAATTTATTTTTCTTCTCCTTTTAAACATTATTGAGACAAGACCGAGTTCATTATAAAGTCATAATTTCAGCCGAAGCCAGTTTGGCTCAGTGGTGGAGCGTTGGTCTGCGGACTGCAGGGTCCCAGGTTCGATTCCGGTCAAGGGCATGTACCTTGGTTGCAGGCACATCCCCGGTGGGGGGTGTGCAAGAGGCAACTGGTCGATGTTTCTCTCTCATCGACATTTCTACTCTCTATCTCTCTCCTTTTCTCTCTGTTAATCAATAAAATATATTTAAAAATAAATAAAGTCATAATTTCAAACCACAATTTTATTTTTTTATTGGACATAATTTAAAAGCACACTTTAGGACAATTAAAAGATGAATCTAAATATAGTTATATTATTTTTACAATAAAGAGAAAATATATGTAATACTTTATTGAAAAATGTTTGCTAGAATTATTTCTTCATAAAGTTTTTTGTACTGTTTTTTTAAGTCACATATTAAATAGCATTTATGTTTATAATTATATAGTATTTTCAGTATTTTGTTACATTTGGTCTTTTTAATAATAGGTTTCAGATGATGATTTCTCTAAATCACAATCGAAGGAAGGTATAGTTCCTATTACTAAGTCACTTCAAAAGTAAGTATTCTCTAACAACTTATGAATATCTTATGGGTACAAATCTATTTTAGCCATCTCTTAGATTGAAATCAGAAGGTTACAGGATGGAATTAAGTAGTTACAAGGATATTAAACTTCTTGGTACATATTGTTTAATCTTGAAGTTTTCTCTTAATCCTGTATTTTTCCCTATTTAAAATATTCTTAGGACCTAATGAGATAATTTTAGACACCTAAAATATAATGATGTGAATGGCCTTAATTGATGCTTTTTTCTTTCTGAACAATAGCAACAATTTTAACATGTATTGGTGTGGATGTCCTGGAAAAAAAACTTGATCATGACATGTATTTTCATATATTCCATCTAGAAGAAATATAATAATCATAAATAATTCATTATTTGACCTTTATCCACAAAAAACTAAAGTAGATATAATATGGATATAAAGATAATCCAAATGCCCTAAAGGTGTTAATCCACCTATTTTCTTTTTAAAAAATATATTTTATTGATTTTTTTTTACAGAGAGGAAAGGAGAGGGAGAGGGAGCTAGAAACATCGATGAGAGAGAAACATCTATCAGCTGCCTTTTGCACACCCCCTACTGGGGATGTGCCCGCAACCAAGGTACATGCCCTTGCCCAGAATCGAACCTGGGACCTTTCAGTCTGCAGGCCAACGCTCTATCCACTGAGCCAAACCAGTTTATTTTTTAAAGGTATAAAACAAAAGTACATAGGACTAAAAAGGAACCAGTTATGAAAATATTAAAATAAATTGCTAATTACATTTAAAATACAGGTAAGTTAAAATTCATTTTGTAATAACATAATTAATATGTAGGCCTTTTACATCGCTTGAATAAAAGCATTAAATTATGTCATGGTTTTTTACTTAGTTCACATGTTGATCAGCAAACAATTAGAGAAAAAAAATATTGGAAAGCATTGATTTCTGGGTCACCAGTAACACCTCACTGTTCACTGAATAAACAACTAGGCTTAAAGCTGTCTAGTGGTTGACCAGTTATGTCACATGAAATTTGGATGTAGACAGGTAACATATGTTCTAACAGTTGGTATGATACCTATTGAAATTTGAAACTATCATATAACTATTATAATTTTGAGGTAATGATGAGTTTAAATGATTTTGATACTCCTGTAATGATTATAATGTGACATGAAAATATCTCCAATTTTTGTGGCATATGAAGTCACAGATTTGGTCTGTTGCTTATATGCATAATGGAAAGAAATACTCATTTATAGGTGGAATTTAGTGAAAATAAAGATGAGGATATTTTTTCTCTATCCATTTTCATAGGCCCTTTAAATTAAAGGGGTTTGGCCATTGGGGTTGTAAGATAAGACTCTAGTCACTTGCCTTTTTCTTTCACTTGAATCACAAGAGAAAATATTACACCTGAAAAGAAAAAGGAAGATAATTCCCAAATATATTTGTAAATTATCTTTTTTTTCTCATATCTGTATGCTTCTAGGAAGAAAATAATTCTTTAGGTAGAGAGATGTACTATAGGATGTAGAAATGATAGGGTCTAGTTAATTTTTACCTCTGATTGCTTAGTAACTTTAATTACTGTCATTTAGTTAAAGCAAATGAGACTCTCAAAAATTAACTGAAGTTGCCAAGGGTAGCAGAATCCAATTTCTTCTTTTATCTATCCCATATAATAAAAGGCAAATATGCAAATTTTCCCCTCAACCAGGAGTTTGGCCTGTAGGCAGGCCTGCCAACTGGCCATGTCCCCTCCCCCTGGCCAGGCTGGCTGAACCCCAATCATGCACGAATTCATGCACCAGACCTCTAATATATCTAATATTAAAACCCTAATATGCAAATCGACTGAACAGTCGAATGACCAGTTGCTATGATGTGCATTGACCACCAGGGGTTAGACACTCAATGCAGGAGCTGCCCCCCCCCCCCCCCCCCCCCCCCTGGTCATCAGTGTGCATCCCTCAGGGGGAGCACCGCTCAGCCAGAAGTCAGAAGTCGGGCTCACAATTGGTGAGCACAGTGGTGGTGGCAGGAGCTTCTCCCGCCTCTGCTATAGGCAGGCAGTAAGGAGCAAGGGTTTCGCATTATGAGAGCCCCAGACTGCAAGAGGAATGTCTGACTGCCGGCTTAAGCCTGATCCCTGGGGGGAGTGGCCTAAGCCAGCAAGTGGACATCCCCCAAGGGTCCCAGACTGGAAGAGGGTGCAGGCTGGGCTGAAGGACTCCTCACACAATTTTTGTGCACCAGGCCTCTAGTATGTGTATATGTGTGTCTGTGTGTGTGTGTATGTGTATGTATATGTATATGTGTATATATATATATGTATGTGTGTGTGTGTGTGTGTAATGTACAAATTGTTTCTGAGGGAGTTTGACTGGGAGACTCAGTTTGATCACTCGCTATGACATGTGCTGACCACCAGGGTGCAGCGCAAAACAAAGGAAGGCCCCAGTCAGCACCTAGCAGCTGGGGAAGGGAGGCCCTAGCTGGGAGCCAGAAGGAAGTACTTCTGATCAGCCCTGATCTCTAGCCAGGTCAAGGGACTCTCCCTGTGCACAAATTTCATGCACTAGGCCTCTAGTTGATTATATTTGAGTAGTCTAAGAAAGAGACACTTGCTTGAAATACATATAATGCAGTAATTAACACTAATAGTTTCCTCCATCTCTTTATCCTGGGTAAAGTAGAAGGTTTATTTAATTTAATATACACTTGTTGAGCCTGTGTTAAAGACCGTAGAATAGGTTGTTATAGTAACCACCTTTAGCTCATCTTAGAAATTAACCGTTAGAGATACACGTTGTTATTTGTTTTTCTTGATCTCTTATTTATCAGAGATCTGAAATATGGTCGATTAATATGGTTGACATTTTCTGAAGGATAGGAGAGGGAAAACTGGAATAGTATTTTTAGAGGAAGATTGGAAAGTTAAAAGGCCTCTCTCTTCCTGGTTGTTTGAAGGAAAACAACTGAGTTTTCTCCACTGATACCTGACCTGTAATCTTAGCTTCATTTTAGCGAAAATCATGTTGTTAGTATAATACTACATTATTCAACAAAATTGTCATTTGTTTCCTCCATGCTCAATAAAAATTAGTTTTCCTCAGAACTAACTGATCCTTTAGTGTTCTTTTATTTTAGCAATCTTGAATGTACATGTAAAAGATAAACTATCCACATTGTTTCTGAAATGAAATACATTATTGTGAAAATTACTTGAAAAAAATGTTTTGTTACATGTGATAACCTATTGTTTCTTACTAAGCTTACTTGGAAAACTTTCAAAAAAAATCTTGGAATGTCAAAAATAATTTTTAAAAGTTTTTATAGAATTTTAGATGAATTATTTGTACCCTCAATTATTCAGTTATCAAGATTTTATAAAGAAAAAATTCTCAAAGTTTGATATGTTATTCTATAAATCCATTTTTCTTATTAACTTTGAAGTTAATAAACAATGTAATCACCATTTCTTGTTGTCTGCGTTGCCTATTCAGTCCTTAATATTGGTTTATAATGTGTTTTATACTTTTTAATGAAGGGCTTTGCACCATTTATCTCGCCTGAGGGACCTGGTTGATGATACCAGTGGGAAACAGTCACCGAAAATGTGAAGAGGAAAATAAAAGTTTAACCAATAAATAGTCACCACAAAAACAGAAATGTATTTTTTTTCCTATTGCTTAAAATGGCAGAAGAATGATAAGCCATACACTATTCTGATTGGTTCAATTATTATTTTAAAAACAAACTTGAAAGTGTCTGTAGGTTTTGTGACCTATCTTCATTTTATGCCAAAATGCCAGATGTGAACTGGAAGGACCTACACTATTCTATAGACTGACTTTGGCCTTCAGGTCAGCAAATATCTAATTCAAAGATGGATGATTTCCATTCTTGAAGCTCATGTGGACCTAACCTTCAGCATCCTCACCATTTTATCGTCTAGTTCTGGATTAAGAAATTCTTCCTGGTTTCTATTTAAAATATCTTAAGTGGAATAGACTTTCTGTTACTGTTAACATCCACTTTTAAGGAACTTAAAGGAATATAAAAATTCTTGTTGTGTATCTAATCCATATGGAAGTATGTTACTTTGAAGTTTTAAGATATGTTGTATTTGCAAATAACGTTAATAATAGAGGGGGTTCATTGTTAAAAGAAATATTGCTTTATGTTGTGTAATCCAAGAGAACTTTGTTTAATTAATGCTTTGATTTGATCCTTTAAAAGATAGTGGGGTTTTTTAAGTTTTATTTTAGGGAGAGAGGAAGAGAGGGAAACCAATTTGTTGTTTCACTTATTTATACATTCATTGATTGATTCTTATATGTGGTCTGACTGGGATCAAACCCACAACCTTGGTTATCAGGACAATGATATAATCAACTGAACTACCTGGCCAGACTTAAGATAATCTTGATATTACTTGACAGTTTACAAAACATTTTGTGGGAGGATATCTGAGAATTTGATATTTTGATATTAGATTATTTATCAGATTTTTAGTTTGGGAGTTAACTCAAATGAGTAGAAACTATGAGATCAGTGGACAACTGCTTTATGAAATTTTATAACTAAAGAAAATGAATATGGGAAATTGGAAAGCAATAAAGCTACTTTGTAAGAACTGAACTTTCTCTAAAGCAATCAGTAGTCTTTAAAGTTTGTCTCTACCTGGAAGTGAGCAGAGCTATATTCTTTACCACAAAACTAAGAATTTAAGTTATAAAGTGTGACTAACGAAGGATATGAAATTAAAGAATACCTATATATACAAATGCTACAAATTAACTCTCTACTCATTGGCAGCATCCTTGCCAAGTAGCTTTATTGTTAAATAGGAATTTCTAAATACATTAGGTCAGAATTTTTTAATTTCTCTAAATGTAAAGCTCTATCTATATAAAATCTTTGCTATAGAACTTACTTGTCAAAAATGTAGAGTGAACCCTGTCTCTTTTTTTTCTGGGCCAGTGAGCCAGTTGTCATAGTGTTCCTGTGCTCAGATTGAGAGTCTCTTGCCTCAGTAAGTTTGTTTGGTTTACTATGTGGAAGTACCTGCCAGGGACATGTTTTCTGATTATCTTACAGTCTTCTGCTTCTCAGCTAATAGTTTGCACCCAAACAGGCGTTACTTTGATGATTTAAAAATGTGGTTTAGCTCTTGCAGGTTTTAAGCAGGTGAACTTCAGGTGGATCTGAGCTGATCATGCTCCAGGCTTAGTGAAATCCACTCTTAGACAAATTCTGAAGAAGGCAGAGAAGATAGAGTCATCACATAATAAACTTCTAAATTATATAATATATGCTGATCAGACAGAGTATATACTTAGAAAGCATCTCCAAAAGGATTATGTGTAATGACCGAATGGCACTGGTTTGCTTACTGCCCTCATTTGCAATAAAATATCTTCAATACTATTGATAAATAAGATAAGCCTGCTATAAAATTTTATGTTATAACTAATATTTTTAAGAAACTTGATTATATTTAATGGAGTACATTTTTTGTTAAATATGGAAGTTAATCTACCTGAAAAGGGAATAAATTTATCAAAATTATTAATTTCAGCCTTTAAAAAATATTTAGGAGAGTCAACTAAGAAAAAAACTAAATGATAAGTGATAAGAAATTTAAGAATTGATTTATTACATGTTAAATATTTTAGTTTTTGTTGTTTTTGCTAATGCTCACTAAGGACATTCTTTCCATTGGTTTCTAGAGTGGAAGGGAAGGAGAGAGACAGAAACATTGATGTGAGAGAGAGACATAGAATGGTTGCTGCTCAACTAGGACCAGGGATCAAACTTGCAACCCAGTTACATGTCCTTGACTGGGCATCGAACCTGCAACCCTTTGGTCCAAGGGCTATTTGCTCTATCCACTGAACAATACCGGCCAGGGCTCTTTCAGTATTATAAAAAAGTTTTCTTTTGTTCATCGATTTTTAGAGAGAGAGAGATGTTGTGAGAGAAACATTGATTGGTTGCCTCCTGTATGCACCCCAACCAGGGATCAAACTCACAACGTAGGTATGTGCCCTGACCGGAAATCAAACCCACCATCTTTTGTTGTACAGGATGACACTACAATCAACTAAGTCACCTGGCCAAGGCTCAGTAATTTTTTAAAATATATTTTATTGATATTTTACAGAGAGGAGGAAGGGAAAGAGAGAGCTAGAAACGTCGATGAGAGAGAAACATAGACCAGCTGCGTCTTGCACACCCCCTACCGGGGATGTGCCCACAACCAATGCTCTACCACTGAGCCAAACCGGTTTCGGCCAAGGCTCAGTAATTTTTATTTTGAGATTTTCTGGGGGAAAGGGAGACTACAGTGTTGACTGCTGAATTGGGAATTAAAGCAGAAAATGAGAACAATTAGATTTTAAAAATTGTATTGGGAATATAAAATTTTATCTTTTTTCTCAGGTATATTAAAAATATTAAGTAGTAAGAAATTTAATAAGACATTAAAATTTTTGAAGATGAAACAAATTTAACCTAATTCCAAAGTTACTTGAGATCAAAGGATACAAGTATGATATATATGTGATGACAAAACTCAACTATATTTTTTCTGTTATCAGTAAGAACTTTACTTTTAATTATTTTCTGTGATAATTTATTTCAGCTTCATGGAGATTTCTGACCAAATTGAGGAACTCTCTCTTGGGTTTGTTTGAGTTAATTGTCTTCTTTTTTTATGTTATTTCTTGTTGAAATTCTATATGTGGATGTTTTTGGTGTTTTGTATTTAATGTTTATGATACTGTCTTGTTAAATTACATATAGGTATACCAAAATGTGCCTGAAGATGAATCAGGACAAGATTCCTTTCTCCTACCTGTATTTTGAATACATACAATTACTCATAGATTTGGATTATTGTTTTAAGTTTTCCTGTCACACTCTTCACTGTGTCTCAGAACCTATTTGATGGAAGTGCTGTTGTGAAGAAGTGAACTTGCCAAAAGGCACATGGCATGAAAGCAGACAAAAGAAATAATAGGCCAATAAAATTGGTAATTTCTTAAAAACTAAAGTTTCTTCAAATGTGGAAGGCGGTGTGTCATTCCATTCCTTCTATCAATTGGGAATTTCATACATGGGTCGTTGATGTTCGTTTTATTGTAGAAGACCAAAGAAACTCAAGCTACGCTTAGAGAATTGGAGTTACACAGCTTTATTACACCAGCGGTCTCAGAGGAGTCACCTCCAGAGTCTGAGCAAACCAATATGGTGAAAGCCCTTTTATCCCCTTTTGGTTTCTTTGTCCCCCAAATATGGATGGGGACTTTGGACCTTTCATGGGCTTTGCAAGAAGCCCTGTGGGTTGGGATGGGGGTCTTGAGGATCATATCTAAGGGCCTGGCCTGATGCCACAGCTGATAACCCTCCTCCGGGGGCAATATCATGGCTTATGGCCTCTGTAAAATGAGCATTTGGGTAACGGGTCTTGCAAGATCAGATTGTGGAGGAAAGTGACATAGTTTATCAAGAATGTACGTAAGGTTACTGCACAGATTCAGATTGCTGCCCCCAAACATCAGGGTTACTGGCATTAGCCTTTTTAGCCTTCTCTGTTTGGGGTGCAGTGTCTATCACAATGATTGGGACAAACCTAGGCCTAAACCTGAACACATTGTAGAGCAATAATTGTTAGATATTTTTCCTGTGATATTTGAAGTTACTCCCTACTTCTCTGCTTCCTTTCTTTAAATAGTCATCAGTGGTCAATAGCATTTTCCTTTTTTGAACAAGAAAATCTTTGCTTTTTAACCTCCCCATTTACATTATTATTTTTTTAAAATATATTTTTTACAGAGAGGAAGAGAGAAGGATAGAGTTAGAAACATCAATGTGAGAGAAACATTCAATCAGCTGCCTCCTGCACATCCCCTACTGGGGATGTGCTCTCAACCACAGTACATGCCCTTGACCTGAATCAAACCTGGGACCCTTCAGTCCGCAGGCCGATGCTCTATCCACTGAGCCAAACTGGGTAGGGCCATTATTGTTATCTTGATGGGACTTGTCTAACAACCTTTCTCCCAATGTAAAAAATTTAATAAATGTATATGTATGTATGTATGTATATACATATATAGATATATAGATTTCAGAGAGTAAGAGACAGATACATCAATGATGAGAGAGAATCATTGATCGGCTTCCTCCTGCACGCCCCACACTGGGGATCAAGGCCACAATCCAGGCATGTGCCCTGACGGAATCAAACTAACCTGGTTCATAGGTCGATGCTCACACTGAGCCATGCCGGCCAGACAACAAGTTTAACTTTGATCCATCCTTCAGCACCTTAGCCGAGACTGGTCCAGTGGCCTCCTAATACCCGTTTCAGCCTTAAACCTTTCTCCCTGCACTTTCAGCCCTTACCCTGAAGACAGACTCTGCACACCACCACTGTGGTTTATTTAATCAAATATGCTGCAACCAAGTGCTCATTCTCCCAGACCTCCCATGGAAATAGTCTCAGCTTTGTTATATTATTCCCCTACTTGAAACACTCCATTTTCTTTCACTCAGGTTACTTAAACTTCATATTCTAAAGTATACTCTGCTATTTCTTTAAAGCTCTGACCAAGTCTTGTATTTCCTGTTCCAAACATTCTAACCTTCCAAAGGCTAGTAGGCTGGCTACCTTTCTTTTTTCCTTCCCCTGTCTCATATTTTGCTCCTTTTTTAACTTTTTAACTTTTTTTTTTAATTGATTTCAGAGAGGAAGGGAGAAATAGAAACATCAATGAGGAGAATCATTGACTGGCTGTCTCCGGCAGGACCCCTATTAGGGATCCAGACATGTAACTTTGACGGGAATCAAACCTAGGACCCTTCCATCTGCAGGCTCGCCCTCTAACCACCGAGCCAAACCAGCCAGGGCTGCTATTTTTAAAAACTTGAGCTGCGTGGATCTAGCTATTTGTTGGAATTAGAACCCATGAATTCACCCACACCTTTTACCAAATCCTATGGCTTTTCACAGGTCTTTATTCTCACAGCTTTTGACAGCTGTCCTTTTTCTCCTTAAACCACCTGTCACATCGCTGCCTGCATTACCTCGGAAGAACTGTAAATTCCTCATTGCCTTGAGTCATTTAACCTACCCACCATCAGCACAGATACAACTTACTTCTACACTTCGTGCCTCAGCAACAAATCTTATCCAGCGAAAGCCCCTGTAGAAGCAAGAATTTCTTCAAATTTAGTGTCATTGTACATTAAGATGCAAATTCCTCCCCAAATTGCCTAGATCTGGTGTAGACTGACTGAACCAGCCCTTTCTCTCAAGACATTCAGATCCCGTTACTAATACAGTTATCACACCAAAAGCGCTTTATTTCTGCTCATCATCATTGCTTATTAATGAATAGTGGTTTTCAAGCTTCTCTGTCCTCCCCTAACTTCCTTCTACAAAAACATCCCTAAGAGTCCCTAGGGAGGAGGAGAAAGCCACTCTGTGGGGCTGTGGCCTATAGCTCACTGGCTCCAATTTTTAAACGGACAAGATTTTCTGAGGAAACATAGATATCGGTCCCCAGGTATTCGTGAGCAGGTTGTCTCACCCTTTATAAGAGCCATTGGGTTCTCTTGAGAAAGCACGGGTGGGTGGTCCAACCCACTCACCTTGGAGTGAGCGGCCCAGCCCTCTAGAAAATTTAACATCATTAAGACCAGCTTTTAATATTTGGGAGAAATAGGTGGGACTTTATATCCTTGGGGCATCACAGTCCAAGTAAATTGTCGATCTTTCCAAGTGAAAGCAAGGAGATATTGACTGTCCTTTTCTACTGGAATGCTGAAAAAAGCACTACATAAATCTATTACTGAAAAATATTGGCAGTCCTCAGGAATAGTTGATAATAAAGTATGTGGGTTTGGAACCACAGGATGTTGGGGAATAACTATCCTATTTATAGCTCTGAGATCCTGCACAAATCTCCACCCTTTCCCACTTGGTTTCTTTACTGGAAAGATAGGAGAATTACAGGGACTTGTACATGGAATTATAAGTCCTCCTTTTAAGTATTTTTCGGACCATAAGACGCTCCGGACCATAAGACGCACCAGTTTTTAGAGAAGGGAAATGAAGAAAAAAAGATTCTGAAACAAATAGAGTCCTAAAATATTTTATGTGCATTAAAACCCAACATCACAGTCATAAACACATGTAATCAACCCTGTAAAGTAAACAGCAGCATTTAGAACCATTTTAGAGCCGGGCAAGCACACAGAGACCACACAGAGCCGGGCAAGTAAAAAAACTTTTTTTTTTTAAGTATATGTGTAGGCTATATTTGGACCATAAGACGCAGGGACTTTTTCCCCCCACTTCTGGGGGGGGGAAAAAAGTGCATCTTATGGTCCGAAAAATACTGTAATCTTGTATAATGGGCTTAATTCCAGCTAGTGCATCAGGTCTTAGAGGATATTGGTGAATATTAGGTAAAGGCAAAGTACTATCAATTGTTATTTTAATAGGAGTGCCTGACTCAATCTTGCCAATATCTGTACTGGAAAGAACCCAAAGTTGCATTGGAACTTTTTGCAACAAACGTTCAGTTTCGAGATTATTTTCCTCTGGTGAAAGTTCCTTTAAAATCATTATTTTCCGCCGAAACCGGTTTGGCTCAGTGGTAGAGCATTGGTTGGTCTGCGCACTGAAGGGTCCCAGGTTCGATTCCGGTCAAGGGCATGTACGTTGGTTGCGGGCACATCCCCAGTAGGGGGTGTGCAAGTGCAAGAGGCAGTCTGGTTGATGTTTCTCTCTCATTGACATTTCTAGCTCTCTATCTCTCTCCCTTCCTCTTTGTAAAAAAAAAATCAATAAAAAAATATATTAAAATCATTATTTTCTCAATTGGTTCAGTATTTGATTCATTTAGTTCTAAGTACATTTCACCTTTTTGGGAAAAAGATATATGAGCATCATGGGTTTCAAGAAAATCTCTCCGTATCAGGTGAATTGGGGCCAATTTGACTAGTAAGAATATATGTTGCCCCGTAACATCCCCTAGTTGAAAGGGGATGGGTTCTGACTTAAAAACAGTCATTGGTTGGACAGACACCCCTACCATTTGTACAGAAGCTTGCTCTGAGGGAGAGGGGAACTTAGATGGGTAGGGTTAAGAACGGATAAAGTGGCCCCAGTATCCACAAGGGCTTTAGTAACTTCTCCTTTTATGATAATTTCAATTCCTCCTAAAGTATTATCGATAGTAAGGAGAAGTGAAAGTACCCTCTCATAGTCCTCGGAGCAGCCCTATGCTTGCTGTTTTCTGTCTGTTTTCTCTTTTCAAATCCCATTTCAGTTTTCTAGTCTTTCTTATAGTGGCCTGGTTTTTGCAGTAAAAACAGACTCCTTTCTCTCCTTTTCTAAGAGACTTCAGAGTTGAACTGGCTTGGTTGCTTAATTGTTGAAGCTGTAAGTTCATAATTTGGGTAACTTTATCTTTTTCTTTCTTTTGGATAGTTTTAGATAGCTGATCAGCTAGAAGAGCCAGTTCATCAGCATGGGTAGTCTGCCAGTTCTATTTATGTTGTTTGATCAGAGTTACAAGTTCTTCATCTAGTCCTTCCAAAAATGCCGAATTTAGTAAGGGATCATTTTTGATGATCCTTGAAACTGTCTGGCGACAGACCTGAATATCGTTTGAAAGTCTTTTCAAAATGTTCAAAGAAATCAAGCACTGATTTTCATCAGGCTTTCTTTTACATTACTGGATCTTGGTGCAGTCCATTCTCTGAGGAAAAATTTCAGGTATGGCTTGATAAAGCCGATGGGCCAATTCCCTGCATTTTTCTCTGTCTCTTTCTGTTTTTTTTTTTTTTTTTTTTTTTTAATCATCTACAGGAGTATTCCAGCGAACCTTATTCAGCCATTCTGTTGCCTTGCTCTCAGAAACCAGTAAATGTATTAATTGGAACAGGTCAGAATAGCCAAGATCATATGTTCTAACAGTTAAATCAAATTCCTTTGCAAACCCATCAGGGTCCTGCAGAGGGTCAGGAAAATCTTTAGCTAAGTTTCTTAATTCTGTTCTAGTCCAAGGAACATATACAATTGCTGGATCCCCTCTACCTGAGACAGGCTTTTCCCGGAAAGGAGCTGTTAGAATTCTTGAATTATCTTTCTTGAGTCTGTATTCTCAATTTTCCCTAGATCAGCAGGGAATGGTGGTTGAGGAGATATATGAGGAGGAGGAAGAGAGATGGAGGGCGAGTCTGTGCAAGGAAGCTCAGCAAAGGGTATAGGGGAGGAGCAGTGAGAGGGAGAGGAGTGGGGCCTCGGCACTTACTTGCTTCAGTGGCCTTCTTCAGTTCAGAGATGGTCTCCAAAATTTTCTTATTGACGTCTTGTAGGGAAGATATTTTATCCAATCCTCTCCTAGAAGCCTCTAATTTCCAATCAAGATAAGCTTCCCATTCATTTAATTTAATTTTAGAGCCGGCTTTTTCTAATTGAGCACGCAGAGAAATCAATTTGGGGATGTCAAAAGTTCCCCACTTTGGCCATTTCAAGTTGGTATCATTGAAATAAGATGAATTCAAATTCTAAGCAAGGTTGCAGGCAGAACTTCCTTTTTTTTAATTAAAGAGCCAGCCCTATGTGCACTTAGTGGTTATCTCGATGCTGACCTTGAAAAACAATACAGTTCTATCCAGTTGAGAAGGTATACCTGGCATGGTATTGAGATTGTGGGCATATCTGGTCTCTGGCCAACAAGGTCAGACAGCTAAGTTTATCTTCATCTTTCTTCAAACAGGCTAAAGCAAACTAGAAAGCAACATTTTTATCTAGGAAGAACAGCAGAAAATTCCAAACAACAGTTTGTTGCAAAATAGGGGTTTTCCTTCTCAGAACTTTTAAAAATAACTACCTGCCCCTAAAGCGGTGCAGTCCTGTAGAGTCCGCCTGCATGTGGTGCTCTTGCGGCTGTCCTGGCCAGATATTTCAATAATTTTTTGCCTGCTTTTTTTTTA